AATATAGACCCCAATTGCATTGCTCTGTGATCGATGTTGCCGTGAGGCTAGCGGATTGGAAAGTTTACCATGCTCGACAATGCCGAAGCGAAATTAACGTTCGAGGAAATTTCAAACGATTAACACGTTCGCCGATCCTACGAATTTCATTTAGCCGAATAATTAGAAAATCGAGAGAAAAAGACACGCGTCCGAATATAAAAATTCCAGTAATAATAGTAATATTAGTAATGACAGTAACAATAATAATAATAGTAATACTCTTATTTTTTCATTACACGAAAATTTTTTATTTGGAAATTCGAAACTCGAAATTTGAAAATTTGAAATTGAATATTAAAGTCACAGAAATACCAAAAAACCTTTACATAAAATAAAGAAGAAGAACGCTGTTTCTGTTTCCAAAAGCTAAGGAACCCAGGTGACAAGAGTAACACGATGCATACGTTTCAAGATAGCGAACAGAACCAGGCCCGAAGGGAGTAAACGGTGAAAAAGAATGCAAGAAAGGTGCATGTTTAAACGTTAAACCCGCTTGCAACTGCAAATACTCAAGTTCTGCTGCATTCGCGAACGTATCTACTATATCAACCAGAGGACTGCAGCCAATCTTGTGCCAGGACAGCTCACCGACGATTTAGGTGAATGTCCTATTTCCTTTCTTTATTCTTGCTACGTGAATTGCACAAGTGATACATTTTCTTAATCACTGATTCATAATTACCGCCTACAGTAATTTATGTTTCAAAGATAAACAGATAATCTCTCGTTAAACCCTGTGCTTTTCTGACAGATAACATTTATCTTTCTATCTTCCGAACAAAGCGATGTTTCATGGAATTCGTAACACGAATTATTCTTAAAATGATTTCAATCGGAAATTCATAATTGGAGATTCAATTAATATTAATTGATAATTCTTCTCGATAATTGGATTTTCTTTTCGTTACGATAAAACTGAGGATAATAGAAATATAGAAAATGTCTCTTTTATATCTGAAAAAGTTAACGATTGTTGAGTTCTCTTTGAACTTGTAATTGAAAGCTTATCGTGTATTAAATTTTTCAAGAAATTGCATACGAAGATTAAACGTGTATGAAAAAAAGAACTTTTGTTGCAGTTGATACGCGGCTGCAACGATGAGAGAAATGCGTTCAATTTTATGCGACGGTGGTTCGCTCATAAGTCAAAGTGTCGTAACGTTCCATCATTTTCCATCCAATGCATAAATTTTCGAAAAATCACGTCACGTTGAGAGACAAGAACAATCGGTAACGTGAAAAGTGATACGACAAAAAAAAAAAAAAATGCAAATCTATCAAGAAACCAAAATATCTAATAATTTTTCAAATATAATAAAATACTCGTTATTAAATGTTTTCCAACTTCTTCTACTTCGATTACCGTGTTCATCGTACGTTCTCATTCCCAAACTTGAAATCTGCATTTCTACGGATTTCAAAGCGTAATATAATCGTACGTCAATGTCTTCGTCTCTCTGAGAATCCGAGATATTCCAATAAATACGACAACACGAACGAGAGATTGCTCGATAAATATTTTTCCTAGCAATCCCATATATCCTTTGTTCCTTAGAGAGGAAAAATAATTATTACGTCGCCCTTGGAAAAATTTCTAGAAAAAAAAATAGAAAAATTCCAAGGTGATCCATCCCACGAAACTAACTAAACAAATAAACTATAGCTGCCACTTAATGCGTTCGCTACATAACCAGAAGGCTGAACGAGTCTACAAGTTCGTAGAGGCCGCGTGCCAGGAACTCGTAATTGTTTTGAATTAACGATACTTTAAGCTTCGAAGCAGCTTCATACCGCTGAGAGTAGTCGGATTCTATGCTTGATTCAGTACCGTTTCCGCCATAGACAGTAGGGCAATCGTAATTACCCAATAAGGGGTTCAAATAATTTTATTCATCCCCCTAGTTTCGCTTTATTTTCCTCCCTTTTTGATATAATTCTTGGAATTAGCGAATAGCTACCGCCCACGCACAGAGTAAACCAATAATTCACCCACCTTCGTAGAGATGGTGGCTTTTGAAACATCCTGTATCGAATATTTGGAAGCAGATGCTACGGAATATTCGTGTAGATCTTAGATCAAGCAATATCTCAAGAATGCATCGGGATCTAAATTCAATCGAAGCTTTAATCAACCAGACAATTAGTAAGCAGTATCTCAAGAATTCGCTAATTGACCGAGCTAAGATCCGCCTTAATTACTTTTCACACCTGTATGAACGATCTCAGCGAATTTCAAGTAAATTGGTTATCGGTGCCATTCAAATAAACCATTAATCATACTATTGAGTGATTTCCTTTCAATTATATTAAAATAAATGAACCCTTCGTTGGATTATGTAGATCTGCTGAATAAAATAATATTTTCTGTTGCAAAGTCTCGTTAAATTGTTTTTGGCAATATTGATTCAATTTTACAGAAACGTGCAGTGACCTTTGAGAGAAGCTGTATTACAGAGATGCATTTGAATAAAGGAGCTTGATATGTACAGCTTGTGGACGTATTTTCTGCTCTGCTTTTTGCATCGTGCCCTCGATGCATCTCTGTTTTCAGCCGCTCTAAAATGCATTCCATATACCTCCTGCTCTATATTCTAATCTCTATTCTATAGTCATTGTTTCGTACTCTGTGTTCCGTATTCCCTTAACCTGACAAGATCAAATTTACGAAATTTCCATAAACTGGCCAGACTGTCGCTGGTCAAGAATGAAATACAATTAAGTATACCGTAGTAAATTGAAAAACGAATTATGGAGTTATAATATTCGGTATGGAGAATTTCTATTTCGTGAAGGAAACCTGAAGCAAACTCTCTGCAAACATTCGATGGGCTTCCAATAGCGTTGCCGTAACCAACCGAGGCTTCCAGAAATGAAACGAAAACAGAAGTATTTCGAGGGAGGTGGCGGTGAAAAAGAAGGAGAATGGAACCCAAACGCGGAGTCAAGTATCGATTTTTCGTATACCAATGGAATTCGGGTTCCAAGTTCGAATAATTTCAATATTCGAATGTAATTAATGATAAGGGGTTGATTAGCAGTAGTGCATTAGGAATAGAAGCACTGGGGTAATTTAAATTTTGCGGGGTGTACCAAAAGAGATTCTATGAGGGAGTATTGAAACTTGAAAATTTTTGTATTCTTAGAATTTTTGAAATTCTGGAATTCTGTGATTTGACAATTTTTGATTCTTAGAATTTCAGAATAGTAAGAATATATCTGCCTTCCCAAAATTTGAATACATGAAACATTCAATAAAATCCGAATCAAATGGAACCGACGCACCGTCCATTAAAAAAAGGTCAAACCTGACCTGATTTCCAAAATCTCCCTGCCACGGTTCGCTATCGAAAACACTTTATCCTTCGATCAGCTGGCCATAGAACAAGCTCGATCTGTATCTATCAAGCATAAACCGATGAGGCTACTTATAAAACTAAAAAACCAAAAAGAGAGGCATCTCTCAAAATGATTTTTTTCCATTCGATCGTCAACAGGGGAGCGAAAGAAAGAAAACTTTCGAAAACTTCGCAATGTTATCGATATTACATTTATCACGGTGGTAGCATCGGAAGCTGTCTGCCTTCTCGACTACCTTTTTTAATTCTCGCCTGTAAAATAGACCCATTCTTCTTGCTAGAATATTGTTTTTTGTAATAAAAGAAAAAGGAGAGACGAACGGGAACGGCTGTCGCGCCTTTCAAACTCGCAACAAACCAGCGCGGTTATCGGAATCGCATTAATCCTAAAAACCGAGGCCACGTTGAGATCTGTATCTTTCGACGATAAATTTTCCTTGCTGGAAAAATCCTACAAATCAGTTTTTCCCGGGGATCTTTGCATTTTCATTGGACCACCGACACGTGGACAGGTTTTATTTTCGGATCGATAGATTTCGAGATTAAGCATTTTCTGCCCTAAATTCTCGAGGGTACGTTTTCTAGCCTCCTGACAAATTAATTACCAAAGCCAAAAGTAAAAGACACTGGCTATCAAAGTGCCAGCAATTAAGGAGGATTCGAAGAAAATTAGAAGGATTTAGATTCTATCCTTGCACGAATCAATCTCTCGTTCAGTTACTTGAAACACAAACAATCATTTCGACGAAGCATTTCGAGCAACTGTCTTAAAGTAATCACGGAAGAATCCTGGTCGACCCAGTTTACGTGACAAGAATTTAATGACGCAATTAAGGTATTCCAGGAACATCAGGCGCTTTCAGTATCCCCTCTCCCTTATTAAAAAAAAAGAAAGAAAAAAGATAATCGTAAAACCAACCAACCAGCAAATTCCTCGTCGATCTGCTCAGACATTCGAGGATCGTTGCAGAGGAAAAAGAACTGACGTTGCACCGAACGATTTTCAATTTTCTCTCGCCATAACGAAAAAAAAATTCTTGCCATCTTAAATAATTTTCCATTTGATCTCTGAAGAAATTGAACGAAACGTGTTTATATTGCAAATTGAAATTGATTTCACGAGTTTTACTAAATTTTACCTAGGAGCTAGATACAAATATGCTTAAATTAAGAACTATTACTTCAATTTTAAAAGAAAATAAAATTTGTTGCAATTAAAGGATGCAATTTTCTATCGCGAAAAATTTCAAACCGCTTTCCTACAAGATTCATTAAAATTTTATTAATTGCATCATTTATCTAGCAAAGCGACTCGTCCCAAAATTATTACAGTTAAAGGGTGGACTTAATCATTTTCCATCGCGAAAAATTTCAAGCCGATTTCCCAGAAAATTCATTAAAATTCTCCTAATCGCATCGCTCGTCTAGCAAAGCGACTCGTCCGAAAATTATTACAGTTAAAGGGTGGACTTAATCATTTTCCATCGCGAAAAATTTCAAGCCGATTTCCCAGAAAATTCATTAAAATTCTCCTAATCGCATCGCTCGTCTAGCAAAGCGACTCGTCCGAAAATTTCCAAGATAAAATAAAAAGTGACTAACCGCATTAAGATCTATCTCTTCCTGCGAATTCAGCGGAGGGCATCTGAAGTTCATATACGTCGACTCGACGGAGTTGTCGGCCCGAGTGACACCGGCCAAAATCAGCATCACCAAGCACCACTTCATTGTCCACGTTGTCTGTATCCTTGTCTGGAACGATTCCAAAAATCCTCCTATCTTATCACTGGCAAGTTTCACTCGCGCCGAATCACGATCGTTTGATACCATCGATCGTCCACCATTGATCAACCTTAATCGTCTCCCCCGAAAACTTGTCCCACGAGAATCACAAAATCCTGCACTGTCACAGAAGAAAAGAGGCAGCTGGTATCGTGTTGGTTCAACGCGACCTTTGTTTCGCGGTTACGATAACGACGGACAACATAGCAAGCCGTGTTCTTCGCGACTAATATTTTCCTCCCGTACTCCTCGCTCGCTGACGCGCTTCTGGCACGCTTTAATTGAACCCCTCGCTCATCCCCGCGCTCTCCTTCGTCTCTACGATCGATGCTCCTCAACGCATCGCTCTCGATCGTCTTCTGGACCTCTCGCGACCGAAACCGCGTTGTTTTCCAGCAGAAAATTCGATTCGATTCGATTCGATTCGATCAATGGATGATCCTCTAGATCTACGAATAACCTTGTCCTCGAGCAGACATCATAGATTAATTAATCGATCAACTGGTGTTTCCAATTCGGAACATCATGCGGAGAATTAATCTGAAGAATTTTCTTTATCAGAGAAATATGAATTTAACGATGATCCAATTATGGATCACTATCGACACTTGGAGATCACTGTCTTTCGTGATGTTTTCTCGTTTATCACTGGTCACTAGTTTTTGGAGAGTGTTAGGTGGAAATTGTTCGGAGTTGGATTTAGAGATTTCGTGTACCACGATCGAGGAGGCAGGGGATGCGAACGCGACGCAGTCGTAGGGCACTCTGAACCGTTCCCAGTCTGCTGGCTGGTCCTCGCTACGTCCGATCGTCGCGACGCCTCTGACGTGAATGAAGAGGGGAGCGGAGAAATAAGAACGAACCGGAGGGATCGAGGATTAGAGACGTGATCGAGACATGGACAACAGAGAGGAAATCAATTCTGAGAAACGTGGCTTTCCTACGAATTTCCAGTGAATCGTTAGTGATTCAATGGTATCCAGCTTGGTGACCATTCTCCTTTTGTTGATTAATATCAAAGAGCTATTTATTTTTTCGAAATTGGTGCAGATTGTAAAATTAATAATAAAGGAGATACAATGAAAATTTAATTGCACCGTGTATTTTGTTTTAATAAACAAATCATATGCTTGTATGAATATTTCATAAATTTGTACTTTATTAATTGGGTATTATTGTCCCTTCAATAATTTATCAAGAATCGAATATCGCGATGCAAATATTTTCAGCGAAATTCAATATAATTTATCGTGAATTATTATTTTTAATAATCAAAATGTTAACCATTGAATTTCATGATTCGACAAGCGTCGCTGCGATTGCAATTGTGTCTGCAATTGTGCAATTAAATCGACCGAATCAGACAAAGACGTAATTAAATCTGTAGAGAATTATTCGAATGAAGCGAAACAGTGACACAGATTGTCGTTTAATGAAATCAATCGATTTTGAAAACACCAAAGGGCGCTGGTGTAAAGAAAAAGGTTGGAAAGTTTCCTCGGTAGAGTTTCGTTTCTTGTTCGACTGTACGATCAAGAGAATCGAAAGTTGTCTCGAAGGATTTAACTCAATCGTCTACTTCCGAAACGATACGTAGTACATTCGTTTGTCGTAGAAGCGGAAGAAAATCGGAGGAAATCGAGAGAGAAAAGAATGGCACGGAAGCTTGTTACATTGTAGAATCGGGGATCAGGAGAGAAATCGAAAAATAGAAAAAAAAATATAAAACTACTGTCGCAGGAAAGAAGTTTTCGATCTCGAACAAAATTAAAATAAATTTAAAAATGTTATTCGATACTTTCGACGATCGTTAAAGTAATTTTCCATTCACTTTCATCGTAATCCAGAAATTACGATTAATTCTCCTTTAATGTCTCAATTAAGAAGTAACGCACGTCGGGCGAACAGTGTTTCCAGTTAAATTGAAATATAATTGCACGAAAGTACTACGTTGACCGTTTTTAAACTCCTCTTTAATTCGTGATGGCATCTGTCCTTAAGCACCCCTAATTAACCGACTTTTACCCTGCTAACAAAAATTTTTAATACTCTACGCTGACATCAACCTTCTACGCTTCTTGCTATTAGATTTACTCTCTTGGGCAACGCAATTTATTATAAAAACACCTTCCGCTTCGTTTATCCAAGAATTAATTAAATACAACCATAAGAAAATGTAAAGAAAAGAAAAAGAATCTTTTAATCCTATAACATTTTTCCGCTGTAAAATAGAACAATAATATAAAATCTTTTTTAATTTTTGCAATTGCTGATCGACATGTGTTTGAATAATTAATTAAAATATTAAATAACGTTATTAATTAATAAGTGGTAAATTGAAAGTTTAAATTGACAAATTAATCATTCATTTGCTTTGTAATTAGGCTTTCAATTTCCGATAAAGTTTTCACTGTTTATACAAATCGTTCGAGTAAGCACTGAACGAATAAGAATTGAAGAAAAGAAGAGAGAGAACGAGTCGAGTTAAATATAGGAAGACAAAGAAAAGCACGGCCTCAGCAATGCATCGGGTCAATGAAAACTTAATTCGTTCATTCAATTCGCTTGATGATTCGGGCTGCGGGTTGATAAAACTCGGCCGACTCGCTCTGTAGACGTTTTATCGACATTAAATTCCGTGGAGAGATACTACGCGATTTGAGGTGAAAAAAATAATTGACAGGATGATTAATCGCCTCGATGGAATTAAGAGCAACTTTATTTAATGAGCTCGTTTTTCGGTAAAGCCTTCGACCTTTCTCTTTTATGGAAAGCAATTTAATCGAATTAGTGTCAAATATTTTATGTAAAAATTTTATTAAAAATATGAAAATCTATATAAGAATATTTAAAAATCTATTGTTATTAAAATATCAATGGAACTGAATGGAAACAATTACTCCAAAATCAATGGAAGCATATGAATAATTGAAGAAGGGGATGATTGCATCTAGAAGCGTACACAGAAATTTAATTTTCCACCGTTCCATATTTCCTTTTTTCTTGAAAGCGACCGCATAATTATCCTATACGACTGAATCTCGATAAATTTCCGCGAATTTCTACCGACACAATTTGCAGAGTTTACGCAGCCGAGGTTTCAAAGTTTCTCATTATAGAAACTCTCGCAATAACAGTAGCTATCTATCGATGAAATTAGCGGCCTCTTCTTCGAGTTAAACAAAAGAAACAAAACTAAAATTAAAGTACGAAATTTTAAGTCGAGCTAATATTGAATATAGCCCTTAAGCTCGGTATCGTTATCCAGAGATATTGTCCTCTAGAATGTCCAGAAAACGATATTGATTAGTGGGTCACATCACGAGGAGGCTACGTGAGTGACCCACCCTAACCACCTAATCCCAACCACCCTGCCATTATAAATACCTCGTTCGTCAAGCTGTTGCCAACTTGGAGATCGAGTTTTGATTCTATTTAACCCATAATGAGAAATAAATTTACGCTCGTGTCTATCTCTTACGTTTAGATAAGAAACTCGCTGAACTGATAAAGATAAATAATTCGATCAATATAATTAAAAAAATACAACCAGCTCCTCGGAGGAGACCTGGAGAAACCATGAACATGCGACTCACCATTCGTTGACTTGCACCACTGCACCCACTGCACCCATTGCACCCACTGCACTGACTTCAAATGACCCACTGCATCATTTCGATCCAAGCTCTATTCTGAAATCAGAATTCATAAAATGTTACAATATATTTGTATCTGCACGTACAAACACATAAGTAAATATAAAAATACATATGCAAATATGTATTCAATTAATATCAAAAAATACACAGAACGATACAGTAATATATGAAATGAACAGTATAAAATGGAGTAAGATACTTACATGTAAATGTGTGAACGCAGAAAGAAATGCGATAGATACGCGTAGTAACATACGCGACCACGTAAACACAGTCGAATTGTAAACTCGCGGCTATACGAGACATTCCAGGCAGATGCGAACCCTACGACGTTCGCAATAAGACTGACTGGATTTGAACTGTTTAAACGTATTTGTTTATAATTTTTACGCGTTAATAAATGACAAGTATCAATTATACATAAAATCACATAACGTTATTAATTCTGTGTAATGATATTCTTAATTAATTTTCATTAACTTTAATTAAATATTGTAAATCAACAATTAATTAAAAGCGACCGTTTAAAGGGGAACAAAAAGGGGTAAATGAATCACAGTTGATCCTCAACGTTCTCCCACGAATTTCTTCCGAGTGGATTAATTACGACACGAGAAGGATATCAAACGAGCGTGCCGAGCATCATTACGACACTTTGAAAAAAGCGGAAAAGAGGCCGAAGAGAGAAAGAATGGAAGGGCCCCCTAGAACGTTACGAGGAGATTTACAGGAACATTGCGATTCCTTCTCAAGGTTTATCCCTGTTGAAAAGTAATCCCCCTCAGCCGATAACGAACATTCTAATTGGAGATTTAAATTCCGTCCGTTGTTCGCCACGGAACGATTACGATCCGAATTATTTAACGGACGCAATCAATTTATATCCGTTAATTTATTACACGCTTCTCGATGATTATTTACACGCGAGGCATAAATCCGTAACACTCGATTCGATTGGAATTTCATAAAACGTCGATCGACCGACGGACGTGCCACAGGAAAAACTGATTAATTCTGTCTGAACGATGGACGAATCGTTACGCGGGCCGACCGGAAATACGCTTTTTCCTCCGGCCGTCGACGCGTTTCCGTGACGCTCGACACGTCAATCGTTATTACCCCGGATGCGGCAAGAAAGAATCGTTCATCCGAACGACGTTTAAAAACTGTCGATTTTTATCAATATTCACCGCCATTTTGTCACGATCCTCCCATCCCTTAATCCTCTCGCTGCAATTATTTATACCCTTCTCTTTTTGCACGTTTTCAACGCCGTATCTGCCTATCGATGATAACTGTATCAATTTTTATTACTTTCCGATTAAACGAATTTGCATAACTGCACTGGTATTTTTCTATTCGAACAGATTTTTGGGAAGGAAGAATAGTGATCATTCTTCTTTGAAATTGTAATAGAAATGGGAGAGTTGGGAGTAGTACTTATTCAAAACGCGACGTCTCCAGAATTGTAAGTAGCATTAGTCAGACACTTTCCTAAGGAGCGAAAGGAGCAAGAATGCAATTATATTTGATAACTGTTTTCAGTGTAAAGAGTATCAAAGTGAAATGCTGCTTGAAATCCGTCGAATAGAAGAAAAAAGTACTAAAATAAATACAGGAAAAATTTGATCAAACAATGAAGAGACAATTAAACGGATATCATTCAATCAAACATTGCCGGTGACGGGAAATCCTATTTCCCTGGCAATGAAACTGAACAAGTAATATTTAAACGAGCAAATTAACGTTTCACGAATATTTCATAACGAGTTGCCCCGTTTAACGAGACTTATTCTCTCCATCGATCGGTAAATTTACCGAACGATGCGTACGCGGATCGTCATCAACGAAAACCGAATTACTCGTTGTAAATTGCCGTCCGTTAACATCTGACATAAAGTAATTAGCGAATTAATTATTTAACTAATCGAATTTAATAATATCGACGTGTATTATCGTCGCGCGAAAGGGGGAGGGTTAACAAATGATCCGCGTTTAAAGGGGTGAACACCATGGGGGTGAATTTATGCCACGACAGAGAAGCGTAATTTATATTTTCTAAAGGACCATTAACATCCAGTGGAAACGACGAATTTCCACGGGCCAACAATAAAACGATTCGGTGTAAAATTTCCGAGGTATCTGGCCGGGGTTGTCCACGCCCGGCGATGATTTAAACTGTTTACTTAATCGCCATGAAATAACCCTTGGGATAGGATCGATGGAAAAAAAGGAGAAAAGAGAAATGGAACGATCATTTTTACCAATTGACAGCTACCATGGTATTTACTTTAAAGTATACGCAAACTACCCCTGTGTTCGACGATGCCGAGTTTTGTGGATGGATGAAGACCGGCAAATTTTTATTTTATTAAATCGTTGCAATTCTGTCAATATCCGTTTGACCGTTCGTGTTTGTTTAAATTTATCAATTTTTAAAAATTCTTACACAGTTAACTTTAAAAATTTATATCTTCTAAACTAAATTTGTCAAACTAATGTAATTTATATTGATAATTTTATCAAAATTTAAGTAATAAATTGACTGTCATAAAATCGAGTCACTTTTCTCTCGTTTACCAATTTTCCCTTTCGTTTCGTTTCGATCCTTGTTCGAAAGTAGAATCGTAACGATGTCAGCGAAGGGTTGGTAATACCTTCGCTCGTGTCTCGGTTGAATTGACAACGATAGCGGATGTTATTTCAATGCGCTGAATTCGTAGCCGAATCAATGGAATCGCGGTTCAATCGCGCAGTGAAAATCGCGCGAACCGTTTATTTAACCATGCATTCGTTTTATACGGGCTGCATGCTTCGTGATCAAAGATAAAAACTACGTCGAGCTAACACGGTTAACGTTAATGTAAAAATATTATTTACGAAAATCGAATTACGAATGCTGCGAGGATATTGGAGATACGGATATAAAACCGTTTCGAAACTTTCGTTCCTCTGTTTTTGAAATACTGCTTTTCCCTGTAGAAATCTCCAACGAGAAGACATATTGTATCGGAAACCTTCTTTTATCTTTTAGAAATTCAATGTACAATCTATCCGTATTTTTGATATTTAAATTTAATAAATATTCAATAAACAATTTTCAATTATTTGGGCAAAGATTGTTAGTAAAATATAGCGAAAAATGATTAGTACAGATTTTTTTTCCGTTACACAAATCAATTGTTTGAGAGGAATTTAAACAAGCTGTCGAACGTATTAAAGATCCGTCGTATTTTCACTCACCTTCGGGGACATGTTGGCCGAAGAGAATCATGTTTACTCGTGTCTGGATCCCGATCGTATATAAGACTCCTGGTGGAACGTCTAGTGGGAAATATTTTCTCGGTGAAAGATGCTTGCACGCCACTATTGGTTTTGTGGTTTCTTCCTCCTATCCTGCTTTTCCTTTATCCACCTACACGGGGCCTCGTTTATTCCCTCGATTCGACTGAGGTACAGCTTTTCCCAAAAACTAGAATCAAGCTTAATTTTCAGAAAAATAATATTAACAAAATGTTAAAACGCTGGAAATAGTATGAAGAAGACAGTTAAAAAGGGGTCACAGTAAAGCGAAAGGGTGAAATAAAAGAAAGAAGGATTTTAAAGTAGGTCGAGGAGGAAGGCTAACGCGACAAGTCGGGCAAAGTTGAAACTCCTGGAGAGTAGAGTAATTAATATCAGTTTAGCGGCAACTTAGAAGACGCAATAAGTTAATAAGCGGAGCCACCAACTTCCGTGTACCGATCCACCAACTTCCGGTTCCTGTGGGGTCGATCCACAGATCCCTTTAACTAATTATTATCATCCCCTTGGTAGGTATACCGAAAAACCCTAAATCCAATAATTTAACATAATTATAATTTGAGGAGAAATTATTAGCTGCGAATTATTGAACTGTAAAATGGATTTGGCACACTGGAGTAACTAAGTAGGGCCAAATCCACTCTAGGGTTTAGTGCTCCCAGAAATGTAGGTTGGTCCTCTATTATTCAAAAGTTCTAAATTTTTATAATTCCAAAATTCTAAATTTCTATAATTTTAAATTTCTATAATTCCAAAATTCTAAATTTCTATAATTTTAAATTTCTATAATTCCAAAATTCTGTGTATTTAGCCTATCTCACAGAAAGGTGCTAGTCGCCCAAATCGCCAAAATTAGAAAGCAACCTTGCATCGCGATCGCCATCAGGCAGCATCGATTCGATTAAAACAGTACAAAAGATTAGTACCCTGGCAATTCCGGTGGCAATTTCACGTTCGATTCGACCACACCGAACGAGAGTAATCACTGCTTTGCAGCCAATAATCGTGGCCAGCCTGGGCTGGCGAAGCGGCAACACGCTGACATGTCGCTAATAGGTAAACACACGTGCATAAATACACCTTTGCACGCGGCACCGTCGGCTTATGGTAGATGTAGTTCCGAAGCTGATTTCCGGCCGAAGTAACATGCAACGTATGATCTGTACTGGCGTCGAGGAGACACGGAAAGCTTAATACAGCCTGGTGTGCCAGCTTAAGGTATCTAACATAGTGTTTGCACGTCACGTTGCGCGAATGTTACGTGTCGTGACGCGACAGCGAGCGTGTGGCTTAACGATCGAGAGGGTTATTCGGATAGATAATTACCAAGGAATAACGTCTGTTCGATTCTTTCTTCGAAAGCTCGGCAAACATATCGGTTCTTCAAGTTATCCAAACGGGTGTAGTCGTTCGAACGATTTCCAGGATGTATCTCAACTTTCCAGCCTGTTGTTAGTCGGCTTTATTTGAAAAGTTTCGAGAGGAAATGGTGTTCGAAGCCTCGAAGTTACTGGATGTCACTCTGTAAACAATTTCGACACCATTAATGTAACTATCCGTTTACTTTGACACGTAAATGCGAATTTCTTTAAAAATTTCTGTTCCTTGAAGAATAGAATGGAACAATTCCTTGGACCTTAGATTCTTTCGATAGCTCTGTTGACATAATAACTAATTTGTCAAGTGTTCTCGAGCAGGTGCTTGCCTTTCAAACACGAATAATCGAGCGGGCAACTTCGAGAAGGCTGTGTACGAACCGCAACGTACGAACCGAAGCGACATTAAGGAGCCGTGAAAGGTATGCACAGGATTAAGCCGGATTAAGTGCTTTAAGGCGATGTTTGCACGTCCTCTAGCCCGTGGTTTCCCACCGCGAAGTAAATACCCGTATTACTCATATCTTGGTTACGTAATTAATCGATGACACCTGTAAAAGAAACAGAAGTATTAGTAAAAAAGCCTTGGAAATTAATAAAACAGTCTTCGAAGACGTTTGAAGCACTCAGCATCCATTATAATGAATAGAAAGTGGACGGATAAGAATGCAAAGATAAAAATCGAGCACCTAATGAAAGGACCGTAATTAGATCAGACCAAAGGTGCAATGAAAATTACACAAAGTATTATTGGAAAGTAATCAAAGCGAGGCGCGATATAATTATGCGCATTAGCACCGCTGATATTTGGAGCAGAAACCTCTTAATGAAATTCAATAATTTCTCTTCTATTTTTAAGAAACATACCGATCTATGGATTAACGCCACGTGTAAGGTGATGGAAATTTAAAGGCTACCTGACACCTGGCTAATTGAAATGAATCGCTTATTCGATTAATGGAAGCTGTTTTTCATAAAAATCCTTTTACCTGCTGAAATTTTATAAATAATTTACTATAAGATTCAGGGAAATTCTCCCCAAAATTTAAATTCTAAATGCTTCAAATATTAATGTCTATTGTGATGTTTGATTGGAGAAAATGAAATTTGAAGAATTAATATTGTTTGCGCGAACAGTGAGAGGCACAGTATCATTGTACGAGATGATGTATTCTAATGAGCATATCCGCGGGAATATCTATCGTTTCGCACGCTTTGTGTTCATATGCACGCGCAGAAACAGCCGGAAACTAATATCCCCGGTAACAAACTAACGATATATGTACACCGTAATCCCCCACGCATTGATTATCCTATCGGTGTAGAATTATTTACGCAAATGTAGCTCTCACCCGTCGGTCCTGTACTGGCGTTACCCCCGGAGATTCGATTACGCGACACATTATTGGATAAACCGCTGCGAATTCATGCTTTCGTTTCATAAAGATTTATTTCACAATTGTGCAGAGATTTTCCTTTGTGATTTTTAATCCTTTGTTCCCCTGCGCGAAGCTAAAGTCGACTTTGCGGCTTTGGCGATAAATTACCATATTTTTTGAAAATTACAAAGCTCAAAGGATTAATGCAGGAAAGGTTAATTAAACTTGGCTGTCCAATTTAACATCTGACACTGATTGCTCGTCAAAGTCTGATCACGCAACCCTAACTTCTTCGTCAAGGGAGGGTCTGAATTTACATCCTGGGGTTTTCAAAAATAACTCGAAGCGACTTTGAAATGCCTGAGCTTTACAAAGATTAATTTTGAAACGAATCAAAATTCAAATACGTTGGATTTAACATAAAAGTTTCGATGCGACACGATTTGAATAAACGCATCATGGATACAGATACTTATGCAGGAAGATTTGCAAGGAAAACAGGAAACTCACAGTTAGTTATCCCAATTTCCGTTTCGTTTAATTGTGTCGGAACGATGCATGGTACACGGTTTGGTTTGCGGATAACGCACCCACACAGGCGAAGGAATACGGGAGATATGAAAGGCAAATTAACGCGAACGGATTTACCGGTATGTACCATTTCCAATCGTACGATTAAGGATGTTTGTCGAATGGAAATTACCCGATGATAGATTAATAGAGAATATCGAACAGCGTTTCAGCCAGGCATGGATTACTTTTAACGTTTCATAGACTACCTTCGTTTGAACATTAAATTGTTGAATATCGAATGACCGATGTGAAGATAAAAATTGATGAAATCCTGTTACGATTGATATATACATTTCGAAATTGACTATTCGATATGCGGTAACTAAATGCAACACGATTGCAAATTGTCTGCACTTCCTGAAGGACCACACTCGAAGCCAATAGACTGGCTGCAAGCGATTACTTCGGCCAACTTCTGGCACGTACGTATCCCTCTTTCGAGGCTAGTAGTCAAAGTCAACGTGTTACACGGCACAATGTTGGCGCTGTGCAAACCAACAACTCGAAGTAACAACAGCTGACCCGATTTTCCGACGTATCTCCTCTTTTACAGGCAAGCTTCCTTGTTAGAGCGAGTTAATGTAACTACGTGACACGAGGTACGGAAACAGTGGATTTCTCGAGTGTATCGAGCTTTAAAGTAGAAGGATGCGAATCTTTGGAGGAATCTCGAGGAAAATAACGTTACAGGTGAATATCGTACGAGAAGAGAAATGGAATGGTACCGAGAATGGTTCGGTCATTAAATCTGGAGAAGAAAAGGTGACAAAACCGCGGGTACACAATAGACCTTTAGGCTGGCATGCTCGATATACGGAGACGAAGGATTCATCGACAGGAAGTCGGTAGAGCGATAACAAACCCCTCTATTCATATAATGGCTTGGATGCCGGGATGAGAATCTCTGAACACCATTGACGAAATAGAAGATATCTCGGATACCCTGAGACCGTACTCTGTATTCTGGCTGCTTCTTCCCACGAGAGAGACGGCTTTCCATACGTGTATAATCGTTTCGAAAACTCTTTGGATCGAACGCAGACGGACAACGTTTAATGCTTTTAAGCCGGTGGATTTTATCCGGGGGGATGCTTTTGATCCACCGCGCTTCGGCGAGATCGAATCTACCGAGCAAACGAGATCGCGAAATGAAATTCATAAAAATAAAAGAAACTGGTTTGCTTGTAGAGATTTGGAGACCGAGATGTTGACGAATGAAATACATTCGTCCGACTTCTTTTTCTCTATGCATAAATATCAGATAACTGAGACTTGTGTCTTGTATTCGTAAAACGTTTCCTCGTCGTCTCCTCCTCTTTTTATTTTGCACCATTTTCATTTAGTATATAAATTAATTGAACAAAATTGTATCTTATAACGAGGAATTTAATTTGTGTTCAGAGGATAATGAAGGATCGAGTGGAATAATATTTGAAGCCCTGAGGTCACCTCCCTGAATATCTGTTATCTGCACTGTTCACTAACTAGTACAAAGTATCGTATCCGAACAAGTTCTCCCTATCCAACTAGCTATTTCAAATAATACTATTCCTTTTTCAACTACAATCAATTAAATCCCTTCCATGCGATTCATACAAACGTTAGAATTTATTTCCACAATTATATATACTCAACTTGGATAAATATATATATATACGACAACGACGAATAAACTTATGAATAAAATAATAAATGTTTTGATATGTAATAAAAAGGAATAAGGAATTTACGGATTCAACGGAGTAATGGAATCCATCCAGTCATTGATGATCGATGATGATCCGGAACAAGGTATCGGTTTCCCCTCGTGGCAGCATATCAGGTCCGAGTTCTTCAATCCGGTGAATTTCCAGTTAATCGCGTTACATATTTTCGAGTACACCGCCACCTAATATATTCGATAATTATCAAAGGTATTAATTAAAAATAAAAGAAGAACTTACTTGGAGATTTTCCACATGGGCGTTCATTTTTTCGCAAATCATTTGCGGCGCCTTGTCTCTGCCACTTTGGGCCTGTATAAAATTATATTTATTTTTTCTTTACAGACTACGATGTGCGACACTTTGGAAATTAATTACTGACCAATGCGACGCACAATAATTGGCATCTTGCCTCCCCTTCGCTGTTGCACGTGACATTATATTGAAGAGGGCGTTCGATGATTGAGACTGACGATCCCGCCTGAAACACGGCGCATTCGCAGCCTCCCTCTTCGATGGCTCCTCGTCTACAAAAAATACTAGAAAATATTAGAAAAAAAAATATTATAAATTACTTAGTGACTATTTAGTGACAATAGAAAAGCAGTGACGAATAAATTGTATAAACGAATATTACTGAAAATTCTATTCCATATAAAAAATAAATTGTTTTCAATATTAAAAGTGTTTCAATCACATAATAAAATTTAACAATAACGCGATAAAATGAATGATTTTAACGCGCACTATTTCCAATATTTTTCTCCTTCTTTCTTTTTTTTTTTACAGCAAAATATAAACGAACAAAAGAATGAATACGATTGTTACATTGCAAAGGGCAAAACGGCGAACAACAGAACGAAATGCAGGAAACGATCCATTGTGTATCGATGACGTTTTCCACGCTTCGGATCGATACAAGCACCAGCGGAGTTTCGCGAAACAGACGAACAATCGAGTGGAACTTTTCATTTATAGACTACGAGAATCCCTACCACCGTTCCCATCGAATATACGTCCGATCACACGATGCAATAGTCGTGTACGATACCCTCTGGACGTCTCAAATTTTCCATCGATAAGTTATGCATCGCGTTGCAACGTGAGAAAGGAACAAACCGGGTGTCGGATGCCCGGTCTCTTCTATTCCAATCAAGCCTTAAATAACACCTATCAAATGATTGCATATCGCAAGGCGAAGGATTAATTTCGATATTCTATTTGTTTAAAATAATTGCAGAGTCGAATAAAATTTGTATAGACATCTAATTAATAAAAACTGATTGGTCCATTTTAATTGGAATGGAAGAATTAAAAAATTCGTGATAAGCCTGAATCTCAAATTGATCAAGAAACCAGAGCAATAATAATTTTATAAGTTCCCAGGGCTTGAAAAGAATGAATTTATTCGCCATTTAAGCGTCGAATAATTATTTCTGATTTAAACGTCAATCCATCATAAAATCCGATGGAAAGACCATTTTCCTCCAGCAATTTCCCATCTGTAATTACTTTCCCTGGCCTTATATGCGACTAAGAAGAAAGGTTCTCGAACTTTTCTAGACAAAAAGAGAAAATCTGTGCAACAACCTAAGAAATGGAACTTATATTTGTCGTTGCAGAGAAGCTCAAGAAAGTTTAGCGCTATTCACAATAGCGAATTACTTTTTCAGTGCGAAACAACAAAAGTTTTGAATTTTTTCGATAACAATTCTTAATACCTATTAATTTCAAATAATTGCCAAAAATAACCAATAAACAAATTCTAATAAAGAAATTCTATCGATTAACGAAGAGACCGGAAATCCTCAGGCAGTACGATTCAAAATGAAGTTTATATAAGTTTGACTCTGATGATTTAAACAAATACCATGTATCTACGTTCTACTATTTTAAAACTACGTTTGCATTTCGCAATATTGTAATTCTTCCCCTTTATATAAATTTATTGCGCATGAATATTGATAAATCTGATAAGAACGCAGAAATATACATAATTTCAAAGCTAGCAACACAGTGAATGCAAAAGTTGTTGTAGTTAGTGGTAAATCTATACCTTCTTAACACTGATCACTGGTACACTTTTGTAATAACAAATTAACACTGTTTTAAAGCTTTAAAATTACATTCTTTACATGGACTTTTGTATTAGGCGCGATGCGCGAAAACAATGGCAATAAATTCGCGAGCAGTGCACCCGTTTTACGAAGGAACATGGCGTCTGTAATTAAAGGTGCGGCATATTCCGACTGATTGTAAATACGTAACTTACAAGTATACGATTTCCTGTTACAATTATCATAATGACATTCGCGATATCACGTTTTCGTAGACACGGGTGAGATTTGGAGCCGACTGTTCGATCACCGGCCATTCGTCCAAGGTGAAATCACGTTCTTCTTGCGCGAGTTCCAGGTAGATTTTTCAACTTCTCCGAAGTATTCCTGTTTTTATATCAGAGAAAATCGTGATCACAATAGTAGAAACGTACATAATCGTTAATTTTTATAAAAACCTTTATTAATTGTTGGGTGGATGCGTCAGTAGCAATCATTACGTATAACCTAAAAAAATTACGCAAGGTTCATTACTGACTGATAGTTGAAATAAAAATTCCTTTTTTATTACTTAATCGTTGAAAAAGAGGAATATCAAAGACTGTACCCTTTTAGGAAAAACGGGGCGACACGGAAGTGGAACGTCTTTTCAAAATACTTGAATACACGACGGAATTGAAGGAAAATCAACTCGACCGAACGGAACAACTTGGGGATTGTCATTTACCGAGCTTAAAAGCAAACGTCGATGTCGCACTGAGTATGTGCGAAAGAGTTTTTCAAAGGGAACAGAACTTTGATACTGTATGATTATTCAATATAAAAAAGATACACATATTAGAAACACTCTCATAAATATCACTAATACATACATCCTATGATTTTATAGGATACAGCATTACAGGAAAACAGAGAACTGAGGAAACTAGAATGGGAAAAGTTTGTTAATGATATGAGTGACAAGTGTGAGAAAGTAAATCAAACTTTTGAGGAAAAAGAAAAAGAAATAAAAGAATTTTATATTGACCTGGAAAGAAAATTACACATTACACCATAAATTGATAACTATTTCATTTATATGCTTTAATAATCATATTCTCTATTTTATGATAACAATATAAAGCAGTGCCAATTCTGCATCTAGTACATAAAAATGTTATTTTGTTAACAATAGAAGATTTATTTAGAAAATATAAGAATGGTAGTTGAATCGATTGAAGACCCTTCTATAAAAATTAAACCAAATAAAAAATTAATAGAATTTATTTGTAAAAATGTTAAGAAAACAAGCAACACTCCATCTAGTATTGTTGCTTTGAAGAAATCTACTAAAGACAACCAGAAAGATGTCTTACTTCAATTGGATGACATCAGATGGTTGAATAAGTACTTGGAAGAATACAGGACCACTAAAATGGAAAGTATCTATTTACACGAATTATTAGATGAAGCTGATATAAAACTACCTACACCAAAACTTGTACCAAGAAATCCTGAACTGGAAGCTAGGATACAGAAACTGAAAGCACAACAGGATGCTAGAGAATACCAAGCTATGACCAAAAGCATTGATTCTAATAGAAGACATTTTCCAGAGGACAGTATCTCTTACCAAAGTAAGACTTTAAAATTAAAATCAAGAATTTTTTAAATATATTTAATATATTCGTGTTTATTTCTATATTTCAGTGAAGCAAATAAATAGACAGCTAATAGCTGTTGCACAGTTTGTATTTTCTGTGGTGGCAGGTTTTGTTTTTGGATTCAAGGGTGTGGACTTAATAATTGGAAATTTAGATTTTGGATTTAGATTGTTGTTAGGGATAATCTGTGCATTGATCATAGCTTTGGCTGAAATCTATTTCTTAGCTATTAAATTAAATGAAGATGGATATGAAACTGTCCCACAACCTATGCCTAAAAAATTGCATCAAGAATAAAATTTTATAGAGCATTATTATGAAAGTGTATTCTTCTAAAATGGCTTTCTGCAATTTCTATAAAAACACGAAAACACAAGGAAAAATAATTTGTGAATAGCCAGGACATGAAGTGGCACAAGTGATGATAAATTGAAGGGGAAAACAGCACAGAAAGATCGATGAATTTATTTTGTTTTATATTATTATTCAAGCTAAAATAGTATGGAGCTTTTTAAGCTGTTGCACTGTGAAAAATAAATAAATCCTTTACTTTGTACATGTGGTTATAATTATTTTATGATATACCTAAATATGGAATAGTATGAATATGTTTTAACATAAATGGCAATGTTCTATTTAGTTCTCTAATAATTTCTAATGAATACATATAAAAATAATATTGAGCATCTAAAATTATTGTCTGTAATCCATCTAAATATCAAATACTAACAGACACTTGAAACATTATCATAAAACCAAATGTCTGCAAAAGTTATATTGTTTCTTAGAAAATCAGAGAGCCTCTGTACGTATAAAAGTATAGATGAAAATAAATATCAGTTTCCTTATCTTTTAGTCTCATCTTCACTGTCACTTTTTTCACTGGCTTCACTTTTGTTGCTGCCTGAATCACAGTTACCATTTTCTTTTGTTTCATTTTCTTGTTCGCTATTCGAAGAATTGCCATCTGCTTTTCTATTATCACTATCAGAACAAGAATTCGTATCTGACTCACTATCACTGTCTGAATCTGAGCTGCTCTCAGATGAGCTCTGCGAATTCTTGGCAGCCATCATTTCCTTGAATTGCCTGACTGTTATCTTCCTGGGCATAATTTCCCTGAGAAACTCCAATGTATCATTGGTTTGCACTACTTCTGCTAGATGTTTGTAGTCTAAAGAATTCCCTTTGTTGTTTTGTAGATGTGCCTCCTCGGTTAAATAGTGTATAAACAGTTCCTAAAAAATTGATTCCATACTTCCGATTATTCAAATGCATTACACAAAAGAAATAATCGTTTCGTAAAGTACCCATATTCAAAGATGAAACCATCAATCGTTAAAATATTAAAAATATTAAAGTAGAAATTTTTAATTAACCCGCGAAACAACAAATATGGAAGCTACTCGAATATACAAACTAATCACGTTTAAGCGTCATTTAACCTCGATGTTCCAACCTTACCGTAGCTTTCGTGACTAAATACAATCCGTCCTGACCAATTGTGTCAACGTAAGGAGAACTTTTCATTATCGTTTTTACCCTTGACATGGGTAAACGTAATTCTTTCATTTTTGCGGGTGATCCTTGCGCAGTCATTTTTACAAACAAATTGATTTCTGCTAGGATCAAACGTAAACCAAACTGCAAAACACTAACTAACGTATGTACCCGTCTGTCACGCTCTCTATCGGCGAAATAGCTACGGCGGACTTTTCAAAACATAGAAATTTTACTTTTTCCTTATCTACGGCCACGTATTATCATTTGCGTAGAATTCAAGAGATAATAATTCTCTTGTATTTAAATGTTTATGTAAGATGATAAAAAGAACAGAAGCTGGTGTGACCTAACTGGCGCTTCGAGGGTATTGAATAAAATGTAATACTGTTACATAATAGTACTCGAATCATTATTGAGAAAAATAATAGTCGAACATTGTTTAAAATCGCTGTACAATGGAAGTAATAATCACAGAAATTGAAGTAAACGACGTAAGATTCCCAACGTCCCTGTTGGCAGATGGTAGCGATGCTATGGTAAGATCTAAAATATTTATAATGAATAAATATAGAATTCTAATACTCGGTATTTTAAATTGTAGCATACTGATCCTGATTACTCTTGTGCATATGTTACAATAAAAACTAACAAAGGCATCGAAGGATATGGATTAACGTTCACGTTGGGAAGAGGCACAGAAATCGGTATACATATTTAAATATTTCAAATGATATATTAAAAAATATAATAACTATGTACAACTTCTTATCAGTCGTCCAAGCGTGCAAATCAATGTCCTACTTGGTGAAAGGACAAAAAGCTAATGAAATCTTTACACACTTTGGATCATTTTGGCGGAAATTGACTAGTGAATCGCAGTTAAGATGGGTAATGTGACATACACCCATACACGCGTGGACATAGAAACTTAAGCATGTGTACAATAATTCTTTGGTTTAAAACAATAGATTGGACCCGAAAAGGGTGTTACCCATCTTGCTACAGCAGCTATAATAAATGCACTGTGGGATCTATGGGCTCGAATCGAAAAGAAACCTGTTTGGAAACTTCTTACAGACTTAACTCCGGAACAATTGGTCTCTACTGTAGACTTTAGATACATGTGAGATACGTTTTAAACAAACATTTTTCATCACCCTTTTAGTCAATTTCGTTTTCCTTCTCACAGCACCGATGTTATTACCAAAGAAGAAGCTATACAGTTACTAAAAAGTAGCAAAGAAGGAAAAGCGAAACGAGAAGAAATTTTAAAGAAAAATGGGTACCCGGCGTACACGACGCAAGTGGGATGGCTTGGATACAGCGATAGCAAAGTGAACGAGCTTTGCAATAAATTTTTAAATCTTGGTTTCACTTCGTTCAAAACGAAGGTTGGTCAAAATCTACAAGACGACATGAGGAGATGTCAGATGATACGGGAAACGATAGGATACGATAATAAATTGATGTTGGATGCGAATCAAGTTTGGGACGTTAACGAATCTATAGAATGGATGAAACAGTTGATAAAGTTTAAACCAACGTGGATCGAAGAACCAACGTCACCGGACGATGTCTTAGGACACGCGAAAATCGCTAATGAATTGAGACCCCATGGGGTTGGTGTCGCCACTGGTGAAATGTGCGCCAATCGTGTAATGTTTAAGCAATTTTTGCAAATGAAAGCGATCGATTATTGTCAAATTGATTCCGCCAGAATTGGAGGAATTAACGAGATACTAGCTGTTTATTTGATGGCGAAAAAAATAGGAGGTAGGTTGTACAGATGATTACTATTGCTAGGTAACTGAGCATGGAATAATAATCTTTTATTTCAGTTCCAGTATGTCCCCATGCCGGAGGAGTAGGTCTATGCGAAATGGTTCAACACCTTCAAATGTGGGACTTTATTTGCTTGAGCGGAACCACCGAAAATCGAGTGATAGAATACATCGATCAGCAACACGAGCATTTTGAAGATCCTGTGGTCGTTCAGAATGCTTGTTACATGCCGCCTAAACAACCCGGTTATTCGGCTAAATTCAAAGACGACTGTATCAGAAAATATTCCTATCCAGATGGAGAACAATGGAAATATATGTATGAAAAAGGTATTTTTCATTGATCATACATAATTTAGATAAAGTATTAATGTACGAATTTTATATCAACTGTACATTGTTACTATTTTCGATATAAATATATTTTTTTGCAAAATTAAAATGTTTGATTCTATAACCATAATACACAACCTGACTAATAACAAAAATATATCCATAAAAGCAGTAGACTGTGTATATGAAACAAAATTTTTACCTCTTAAAAATGTTACAATTGTTTCCTAGTCCTTGATTAACTGTAATTACCCTTAATCTTGCCCTTTTATAAATCTTCTAAACCTCTATTAATAAACTATAAAATTTGCTCTATATTACTTATTGGATTGAAGGTATGATTTTACATAATCTACCTGTAAAATATATTAATTTATGTGCCACAGTGAAATATATGTGAATAATTTCGTAAATTTTTGTATTTATACTTACACTTACAAACCAATATGAATCAGGTTTAAACATAACCCTTTTAAGAATACTCATATTACTTATTGGAGAAATAATGTGTAAATGCAAATGATGCACTGTATTAAATGGTGGCCAATGAAACCCTGTACGAGTTTCAGCTGGATTCAAACCCTGCATTTCGAACATCCTGTGCATGGTAGAGATCATTTTGTCATCTAAAATTATCATTATCTACAGATACAAATAATTTAAGCATTAACAGCCAATAAAGTGATAATTTTGTAACTCTTACAAAGTTCTGCATCAGTTGGTTTAAGTTCCTTTGCATTGGCTATATGCCTCCTTGGAAGTATTAAATAATGATGCGTCGAAGCTGGATAAATATCTTTAATGCACACCATGTCGTCATCCTATAAAATATATTTAAAGATTGACAGTTAACCTCTATGAAGAAAGTAATACCTCTGACTATGCAATTTTGTAAGTAAATCAGTACCAAAAATAAAAACCTAACAATCTATGTTTAAAACTTAGTAAATTATTACTGATCAATTTAAAATTATTACTGGACAAAACCTCGTTTGTTTCATACCTCGTATACTTTTTCGCTCGGTGCATTATTATTTATAATTTTACAAAAAATACAATTATCCACGTGAGTGGCCATGTAAAGTAATACAATTATATTGCACTTTGATCCAATATGAATACTGTTCTCTTGATAATTTATATAAAATTTATTTAAACTTCTCTATTACTTGACAATCAAGTAAGTACAGTACGTGGCTACTGGTGGCTAGATACGCATATCTCTATACCGCAGTTGACAGGGTCCATAACTACGACGCGCATGTTGGAAGATGGTGGGGGAACGCAGCGAGCTCTCTGCCAATAGCTTTCCACTTCGTTTGGGAGTATCGCCAATCAGGGCGAAGATGCGCACGAAAGAACGAAAACTGGTCTTTTCGCAGTTATGGACTCTGGTGAACTGCGGTTCCATATAACTGGAACAAGCTATAGTTTTAAAACCGTAAAATGTATATAAGTACTTACTTAAGTACTTTGTTATACATCAATCGAAGCGTTTTTTTTATCCTCTACAAAAAAGTATTAATGGACTTTAGTCGAAAATTAATTAGTTTAAAAGATCTTAGGGAGAGACCTGGAGATCCAAGTGGTCTTTCGACCCAAGTATCTTAGTAATTTTTTGCAGAGAATTAAAAAACGCAGCAAATGACATCAAGCAAAGTTCAAAATTCCAAAATTTTTTTTATAAAAAGCTTGGCCCAATAACATGGAATATTCTGTATTTATACGTAGTATGTATTTATATAATATCGAGATATGCGATACCGTATCTAGTATTCAAATGTTCTTCCATGAGTTTAATTAAAACGTTTAAAAGGACGATTAATTAAACGTATCGTTTGATTGCATTACTTTTTAATTTAAAATATATAAACTGTACATATATTTATAAGTAGTATATTTATATATTTTCTTCGTGTTTATTCATACGTTTTTTATATAATAGTCGTGAGCATGATAAATTAATAATGAGTGTAACAGATTTTTACACGTGGCAGTTTAGTCGAACGAGAACGTTTTCTTTGTTTTCAAAAATCGATAAAAATTTCTGAAACTCCGCGTATTTTTCTTTCCCTTTTCAATTTTCTCCGCTTTCTTATACTTAATATACACTATTCAGTCCTTTTTCAAAAATATAAAATTGCAACGTATTGTACGTTTCAATTAAAGTACGCGAAATATTCCAAAAATTGTATGAAACGTAAGGATGAAACGGGGGATGGAAAATTAATCGGGGGGAAAAATCGGCAGTATTGTCTCGTTAATACGAATTTAAAAACAATCCGATTTTTACGTTTCATCAAGGAACCATGAATCTTGATTGCTCTAAAATCAAAACGATTGTTCAATGAGAATATTCAATCAAAATATAAAACGATGTGTACAAACGTGAAAAACGAATCGATTGATTTTCCGCGATTTAAATTAATATGATATCCGAATATTTTATATTCTCGCTTAATGGCTTACCGACGACTTAGGTGCTAAAGTAGATTTACCGGGATTATCCCGACTGTACAGTGTTTTTTCTTTTTTTGCTTTTTTATAAATAATTCTTATAAATTATAATTAACCTACGTTTCCGACTTGACCTGAAATATACATAATATTTGCTTATGGTAATCCATATTTAATACTGCGGGATTTTTACACCCTTACCCGATATCGGTGATACCACTTGTCTTAACTTCCGGCATTCGTGCACTCGAAATTCCCTAATCGTTTTGGTGACGCGCGTTCTTTTTTCTTTTTTTTTTTTTGGTCGATGGCTTTTGTTGTTTCCAAAACATCGAATTAATTGTAACTACGAGTTCAAGGATTAAGTTAACTTAGCACTCTAATAAAGAGGTAAGTTTCAGCTGCCCTGGTACGGCATTTGATCCGGAACCGCCGATGAATGATTCTGAGTTGGACTCTGATGGAAATGAGGATTGCTGCCGTCTTGCGACAAGTCACCAACAGCTGGCTCTTCGTATTTCCCCCTTTTGAAACGACCATACAAAGAAGAATATGGTAGATTATAGTGAATAGCAGCTTGATTGATGCTCATGTGTCCTAATCTGAAATAAATGCAAACGAACGGAACACGATTTTGAGAGATCGACGCCAATTGGTACTCTGATCGACCGATGATGCCAAGAACTTTACCGCCAACTACTAGATTTATCAAATATCAAATTATTATCTGCCAAAGGAAACGAAAGAAATCGTTTACCTGACGGCTTCGAGGGCATCCGTCATGGCGTCCTCGCTCCAGGGCGTAGGATTACTCCTGCTAAGTTCGATGCCCTCCCTCTTGCATCTACCGTATAGCGTGCCGGTCGGTATGCCGAATTCCGTGGACGCTCTTTGCACTGACGTTTGGCCGGATCTGATTGCTTCGAGGGCGCGATCGAGATCAGCGGGCGACCAAGTGGTAGGACTCGCGTTGAATGGCGCGGCCAGTCTGATGCCTTCCCTCCTCGCGATTTTATACAACGTACTGGAAGGTATGCCATACGCCTTCGACGCTTTATTCGCCGAGATCGTACCGGTTCGCAGTGCTTCGAGAGCGTTGTTCAAACTCTCGTCGCTCCACGACTTAGTTGGACCGTCTTTTTTTGGCGTGTCGATACCTAATCGATGCGCTCGTTGCCATAACGTCGTCGACGGTATACCAAATGTTGCTAAAACGATCCCAAGAACCGGCTATATAGAAGAAGACCGAGAAACTTACGAGATTAAGTTCGCGCGATCAGCAAAGAGATCGGTTTGTCTATTTACCAGAGGCTTTCGTCAGGCTCATGTCGTGGTTTCGCAACGCTTCCAACGCGGCGTCCATGTCCTCCTGGGTCCACGACTTGGAGCCGTGATGGTGAGAACTGGACTGGCCTGAATGGCCCCTCGAGTTGTTCTCGCCGGAATCCGAGTGAACCGAGCTTCCAGAAGGCATCAGACCGAGTAGTTCCGGGGTGATCATCATCATGTTGTCGTTGTCGGCCGCGTTCTTTGAACTGACGCTCGCCCGGTCCGACATGTGGCTGTCGATGTCGATCGTATCCGACGAATCCATGGTGTGTAACGTTTCGAACTTGATCTTTACACTGTCACAATTTTGGATCTCTGCGAACAGAAACGGGGAAGAACGCGTTTTTCCTCTGTCCGCGCGAATGTGCCCACGTGGAATAAAGAAACGCGAACGCGAACATCGACGTTGGCTAACATCTAATTGTTCACCGACTACCTGGCCTATCGTGAAAGGAGCGCGCCGTGGAAGCAGAACAAAGTTAGATGCGTTCGCTAAACGAGGTTGCGTGGGTTGTTACGAACCGAGCAACGCAAATCTAATCGCGACTAGTTAAGCTCGATTAGACCAATTATTTTGATTCCCTCTCGGTCTAATGGTTGTTGCTACACTTTTATTCTCTCTTACCATTCACACCATTACGATCGAAGGTGCATTGCTGTATTTTACGTTAATTAGCGATACTTTTGAGGACAAATAGAAATCTATGTAATCTCAATTGGGATTGCACCTGTCGCATGATGATCCGGATCTCTCAGATGGGTGATCGTCGTACCGACTAACGTTGCACTGGGTGGTGTAGGTTGGGTCTCTGGAGGTAGATCGACGTCTCCAGGATCCGGATGGTGTCCGTAATGACCGAGTCCTGTATGACAAAACATGTCACCTTTTTACTTAAAGTGAAAACCGCCTGTTCTGCGTAATCGTAAGTTGCCCCACACCTAGAATCCTTCTTTGCTCGATTCGTCGTGAACATCGTCGTTCGTTAATAAATGAAGAAATATATAGAACGAGTGATGAAATTGGTAATAACGGAATGTAGGCGTGGGGCGCTATACCAACCAACGACTTACCGTTGTTATTGTTGGTGCCGTTACTGTTGCTACTATTACTACCGTTATTATTGTTGTTGTTACTATTGTTAATATTATTGTTGTTATTATTACGCTGGCAAGTTTCTAGAGCTACTGCTGCGGTCGTTCCTTCCGTACACTCTTCATCTTCAGCTTGCCAATCCCTGTGGTTCTGTAAAATATATATGAGACAGAGTTTAGGGAGAATCGTGGAAGATCATCCTTCGTAAATCGATGTCGTTGATATCTCTTACCTCTTTGTTCTCTCGATTGTAATTTTCGTTCGACTCCTCTTCTTTGTATCTGTCGTAGTGCCTTGAATCTGTCGCGCGAGGCTCAAAGCTCGTTCTGGCTCTCTTGTACCTCGGATGGTGTCGTTTCAGTTTGGTGAAATTTATTCTAGGAGTGCCGGGTTCTCTTGGTGGCGAACTCAGACTAACTGATGGTGGACCGTCTCTGCTTTCCGGAACCTCGCAGAGACCCTTGATCTTGAGCTGATCGGCTGTTTTCAACAGTGACTGAAACAATACGATACAAACGAGTCTTCTTTTACGTCTGACACGATATTTTTTCACGACCGTTTTCCTTCTGCTAAATACTATTGCTTGCAACTATTTCAACGTCGACGACAAGATATTTACCTAGAATGTTGTTAGGTTTTAAGAATCTTAATAATATTTCTAAGAATCTCAAATTTCGTACAAATTTGCGGATAAGCTTGTGGATCACGCCGGGGATAAAATTTGAAATAGTTCATCTCGTTAAACGGTATCCGGTCGGAATGAAGAAAGCTCGAGCAGCCGAGTTGCATGTTTCCGGTGAAAAAGTTGATCGCCTTTACGGCTCGTTTCAAGGGGTACAATTTTATACGGCGACCGCCGTCTGGTCGTGGCCGGTAGGTCTAAAATCAGTTTTCGCGATCCAGTTTCGTCGTGCGACGATTCACCGACGTAGTGCGTCGACCCGGATCGAACTGTGCGACGTCCTCCCTCCGACTATGCCGTTCGCCCCGTTGCTCTATTATGATCTTAACCTTGAAAAGGAGGAGCACGTATGCGCGTAGACGAGGAACAAGGAAGATGATCCAACGAAAAGGCACGAGGTCGGGAAAGGATACAAAGAATCGAGGAACAATTACCGGGAAAAGAGGGTGACGGGGTGAAACGCGGAAGAAGAAAGTAAAAAGACGCGGAACCCACGTGGAGGATCGAAATATCGGCAACAAATACCATCGAATCCAAATGAAGAAAATAAAAAAAATCATAAACCAAAGGAATTATGCATACGGATATCAGAGACCGCTTAATCATAAACTCATATACGGATATCAAAGCGAGGAATAAAATTCGAAAAAAAAAAAAGATTGATAGGGAATAAAGAAAGGAGAAACAAGAAGGTATAGAGGAACGGAAGAAATGAAAAGGAGCGAAGCAAGCATGCGAACGAACGAACGAACGAACGAACGAACAAACAAACGAGAACGAGGTTCGCGTTGAAGTTGAAGCTCTCTGTTCTTTAATCAAAGCAGGGGTGGTGCGATTAGGCGGGGTCGGCAAGAAGACAGGCAGTATGAGAGCGGCAGCGGCGATGGTGGTGGTAACGACGCGGCTAGAAGGGGTGAGGAAACAGAGGAAGAGTTAGAGAGGATGGAGGCAGAGAGGTTCAGGTGGGGAGGGGGTTTAGGCAGACTGTGCCGGGGGTGTCGGTGGCGGCTGGAAACGCAGAGCGTGGGTGGAAAACTGGGTGGCGATGGGTAGGACTAGGTTCACAGCGGTATGGCCGGAGGAGGAGAGGATTGTAATGACAGAAAGAGAGAGATTGCGACTAAACTAGCGATTGAGTGAGCAACCGAGGGAAAGAGAAAGAGAGACAGAGGGGTTGGGCTGGCTATACGGGGGAGGGATGCGAGGGGGTTGAGAGGAGCGGAGGAGAGAGGGAGGACAGAGGCAAAAACGCCTGCAGGAAGAATGGGGAGGCCTCCGACGTGGCTGTCGCGGCCCCAGGGCCGTATCGACCACCCCAACCTCCGATTCTCTTCCTCGGCACTCGCGACGGTACCGACACCGGTATGACTTCCAACCGTTTCTATCCACATATCCTGTCTCTTGCTTCTATACATCTCCGGCATACCCCCACCTCCTCGTCCACCTCATCCTCCCCTTTTCACACTTCCTTTCATCCCCTAGGCGTGAGCGAATACGTATAACCTCATCGAAATGTCCGCAAGCCTTCGAGCCTCACACTCGCGAGTTTCGTGGTATTGGTTCCAAGGTGATCGAACTTCCATGTCGGACACGCGATACCGCAGCAACGATGGCGTGACGATTTTTCGTAAGGAAAAGTCGGTTGTAGAAGCGGTCTCTGTGAACAAAATTTTCCAGTACTACAGCCGCTTTCCCATGGCACACGGCGACGCATACCACCCCCATGCGTCTTTTTGTCAGAGGCGATCGTTAAATTGAGAAATTTCACGGTTTCCAAGTATACGTATATGTATATATCTATCAAGGGATAACGAGCTGGGATCGATTCGTTTGAAAAGTTAGCGATAACTCGAGACCGATAGGGTGCAACAGCAAATCAAGTTGCGATTCGATGAAATAAGTAGAACGAGAAAGGGAGGAAAAGAGGTTTGATAAGGTACGGTGCCTTAACAAATGACGGGCGGCACTTGGAAAGCCACGGATGCTAGACGATGGGTAAAGTAGTGCGGTGCGGGTACTGGTGCAGGGGTTAGGGAACGGGTGGGTAGTTGGTTGGTTCGGCGGTGGATGCATAGGGGTGGTGCCATCGGTTCGGAGGCAAGAGGGAAAGCCACCAGCAGAATCCAACCTCACCAATCAATACTTAGGGTTCAAGGGCATCGCCCGACCAATTATCGCAAACTAATTGATGCGAGACGACAGATAAAAAAAATTCTACCGTGGCTACTTTTCTTTCGTATCGCTCGTTGGTGGGAAGACCTCCTAAAAAAAAGAAAAAAAAAGCTTAAAAAATTTTTTAGGACCTACAGTAGAGTTGTAGTTTCCTCAATGTGCAGCTAAGAATGTATAAAAAGAATATCTAAAGAATCGATGCTTCGTCCGAAAAGGGTTGAACGGCGGGATGATAAAAAAAAGGAGATGTTCTTTTGGTAGAAAGCAAAACGATACGGGACAAAGTTCTTTCGCGGATAGAAATAAGGCGACGATAGAACGAGAAGTCCAACAGGTGTAAATCCGCAAAAAGATTGACTGTGGAAACGCTCTCGAAGAACAGGAAGGAAGCGAAGGGGTGGCTGATGGGTTGGTCCGTGCAAGACCGTACCAACAGACGGTATAAGGTACGTAACACATCTATATACCTGTAGGGAAGAGGAGGATTCAGGGTCGAAAGAAGAAACGGGAGAATAAGAAAAGGGGAGAGGACGCGAAAGAAAAGGAAAGCGGTGGAGGAGTACGCACGGGGGAATCCCTAAAGATGGTCGTAGGGTCGTCTCCGCTATTACGAATACAGCGTCATAACGGAATTGATAATGTAACGGGCGTCACGAGCATAACCTTCCTCTCTTATTCTCCACACTACATAACCTCCTTTCTCAATGGGAGCGCGACTGGTTACCACGTGTTCTTCGAACAAGTGCAAGATTGCGCCACGTCTCCAAGTGCGGAGATATTTTATCTACGATTTTTGCGACGCCACCCCTAATTACTTTCGATTCCGTTCGACGCTTAATTTTCACTTCCGGTATGTCTTTCCTAAACATACAAACAAACTGATATACGAAATTTCCTCTCAACGATTGAACGATACGGACAGAGTTTCTCTGAAAATTCAACTTTTTCCAAGCCGGAACTTTCGTACAGGTTACGCGGTGAAACACGTCCCTCGTTATCCGCGACGTTTTATTTTATCTGCGACCAACAGAAGCACCATCTAAGCCGGCGAGACGAGACGCGTGCGACGAATGTTTACGAACGCGCGACGTACGGAAGTTCGATAGGGTGTACATATATTCTAACTGGTAGACAGAAAATTTTTGCAAACACGCTAGACTAACCGTCCACCGTTTCTCACTTACGAAAGAGCAACGTTATACATATGTATGAGTAACGCACACGTTCGATATGCCGCCGGTTCTAGCACTCGATTCGTCAAACGTAACTTAAAATGCAACCGCTGCTGCTGGGACGATAAATTTTTCATCGCACGGGAATACCTGTATTTAACGAACTCGTTGGCGAATACGTGTCGAACACGTTATCTTATTATTTACGCACAGCCAATGCGACACTTCACTCGTTGCCGCGTGTACTGTAATCCGTGTATATTTATTTCATCGTAGATTATCCGGTCCTTGCAGACTATGGAAACACTTAGCAAACGTATTAAATTAATGATTCGTTTAAAGGCACTTGCACGAAATCACAATTTCACAGGACAATTTATAAACACACGAGTCAGGTTTAATGATCACAGGTATAATTCACACGATTGGTCTTGTTTTGATCTGGAAGAAACAAAATGATAAATTTTTCTCGAAACATTCTGACGCGTCGAGAGATGCCTTTAAAACACGGTGGTTGCGTGCACAATACGGTTATTCAAGATTCGGCGGGCGGTAGTACATTGTCATATATCCACTGTAAAACTTTTGCTTCCTTCTCTCTTTCTCTCCCCCTCTCTCTCTCTCTCTCTCTCCCTCCCCTCTCTCTTTCTCTGAATCACTCTGGGTCGCTCAGTCACACTATCCCTCTTTGTTGCAAGAAGTCTATCGGAGCAATGCCCACTCTATGGCGAGCGGTAATAACGCGACGCGACGCGGCGCGCCTTCCAAGGCTTTCCTCCGTCCTAGCGCGAAGGAAGTTGTATCGTTTATCACTCACCTGACTGCGATACTCCGTAGTCGAACGGTCCCTCGTCGAGGGAGCCAAGATACGTAAGAAGGAAACGGAGGAGGAAGAGAAGAGGGCAAAGGTAGACGAAATAGAGAGGAAGAAGAATGGAAAATAATAAAGTCGAAAGAAGAACGAAAGAGATATCACGAGGGTAGGAAGGAAAGAGGAAAACGAAGAAGGAGCAGACGAATATCAGAAAGAAGATAAAGAAATAGAGAAAGGAAAAGGAGACGGAGACGGAGAAAGGGGAGGGAAAGAAGAAGACGAAGAAGAAGAAGAAGAAGAAGAAAAAGGAAGAGAAGAAGGAAGAGGAAGTGGAAGAGGAAGTGGAAAAGGAAGAGGAGAAAGACAAGGTGAAAGAAAATAAAGAAGGAAGAGAAGGAAGAGGAAATAGAGGAGGAAAAGAAGAGGAGGCAGAACGGTTACGAGGAGAAAACGAGGTGGTGCCGGCGTTAGTAGAGTCGACGTCGTGAAAAAGCCAGACGAAACCGTGTACGAGGAGGTTACGACCACGTAGAACGAGAGGATAATTCCTGGCAGGGCCCGATCTCCTACGCGGCGAAGCCCAACGAAAGTGAAATGGCATTCGGCGCTCCGTGCTGAGGGCGCACGGCATTCGGAGGAGCGAGGAGATGAAGAGGACGCGACGAAGAGCGGGAGGAGGCGGAGGCAGAGGCAGAGGCCGAGCCAGAGCCAGAGCCAGAGCCAGAACCAGAGTCGGAGCCGGAGCCGGAGGAGGAAGAAGAGGAGGAAAAGGGATAGGAGAGAGAGGTAGCGGCGGCGGTGGCGGAGGACGCCGCGAAATTCGCCGACGCGACGAACAAGGACGGATTGAACCGCGCTCGAGCGCGTACACGAGGAAGAGACTCGCGGGGGATGCGTGCTCGATGGTGGACAGAGAGCGATTGAGCGTACGCGTGGAACGAGCGAGCGAGCCAGCACACCTGACCAGTCCCTGACTGCGGGGAAAGGGGTTGAAACTGGCGGGTGGCTGGATAGTCGGTAGAAAGCGGCGAAGAGCGAAGGGGACGGGAGTCCGCGCGACGGCGGGAGGGAGGGTGGGAGGGAGGAGGGGGGTGACGGAAAGCACGAAGCACGAGGGTGGGAATGGGGACCGGAGGAGAAGCAAGTCTGCGGTGTACGAGCGAAACGCGTCCGTCTCTCGCGGGTGCGCGACGAAGATGAACGCGCGGTTCCCGCGGGAGCAAGGAAGACTTCCTGTGGCCGAACGAGAACAGAAATACGATCTGCACGGACACGAACGAGACGCGATGGAAAAGACGAAGAGCCGGAACGTGTTTCTCGACGGTACAACGAAGACGGATGCAAGGTTTGCAAGAGAACGGGAAAGGACAGAAACGATTTAACACGAGCGCAACAAAGGTAGCGTTATGTATTCGCGTGAACGTGCCGATTGAGACTGTATATACATATATATATGTATATATATGCGTGCACACGCGGGAGAGAAAGAGAGAACGAGAACGAGAGAGGCAGGAGGAAGGAGAAAGAGAAGCAAACGTCGCAGTGGTGTATGCCTAAAGTTAGGATCCCAGTTTCTATACGCTGCGAACGAATCGGAAGAACGAATATTTTTTAGTGTTAATGAATTGATTACTAAATATTAAGATATTAACTTAAAATTGTGCTTTACAGAAAATTGTGAAAAATATTGTATGCAGCTTGGTTCAATAAAATGAACGGAATTTATATTTTTAACAGAATCTCAGCTTTTTTATTTGTTTCATTTGCAGTCCTCTTTCAGTCCTTTTCACGATTTGAAGGTAAAACAAAATTTGGAAATTCAGCAATTCAACAGCGACGAGGAACACGCGGGAAAGATCGAATTACCCTGGCTTCCCGTTAACGTTAACAGAGCATGGACGGGGAATACAGGTGTTTTAGGTCGGCCCTGTGTCGTTTTGACTCGATTCGACTCAATTCGATTCGACTCGAGTCGACTCGCGATCCAGACGTTATATACACGCTGTCGAGGGAAGAGGGTACGGTCGGTTTCGGGAGAGCGAGCACCGCAGAAAAGGATGAAATGACCGAAACGAAACGAAACGAAACGAAACGAACGAAATGCGCGAAAGAGAGAGAATGTAGAAGAAGGCATACCAAGAGTAGCGTCTGGCCAAGAAAGAAAGAAAGAGGACACGAATCGCAAACTGCAGTGCTTGTGCGCGGACAAAGGGAATCTGCGGCTCCAGTCGCCTCTCGACGCACACGCATACACGAATAAAGTGCAACTGTGCTTGCACGCATGCACGCCACGCCGTTGCAGAAACCGCGTGTGTACAGTCGCCGGAAGAAGCGCGAATTCTCGTGTTTCTTCCCGTTCGACTTATCATTCATCGCCCTATCCTTCTTCTTTCTCTTATTCCCCTTAATTTCTCGCCCTTTTTTCTTTCCTCTCGCTTTGCATCCGATAAAAAGAACAAAGAAACAGCGAATGCGAACAAAATATCGCTTACTTTCTTATGGCTATCGTCCGTACCTTCTTTCTCGTTACGGATGCAAAGGAGTTTATTAATTGAACGACGGTGAAACGGATGGGTATCTCGTAAAATTGCATTCAAGTTCAAGGGGAAGAGAAGGAAAACAATACCGATCTTTTCGTATGCGTTCATCTTTTATTTCGTTACGATGCGACGTGGTTCTCTCGAGCTACTCGAAGAAAGGAGATACCGATCGAGAACGAGGTCAGTAGAGAACACTATCCTTATCCCTGCGATACTTAAGGCGCACTTTGCCCGCTTTGTTGCGTACATACATTTGCCGTTCTAGGTTTTTCTGTTGAACTTGGACGATTGAAACCGATGAGAAAGAAAATGTCGAAGGATGAAAGATTGCGAGGTTTTCATTTCGGCGAGAGATATCGGATCTCGTTTGATCGCTGACGCAAGGGGCCATCGGCATCTACCAATACGTAAAATTCCGATACCCTGTTGTCACGTGTGTAGAGATTTTCAGTTCGATGTGCACACGTTTTTGCTCGTACGTCGACATCTTAATTCACGTGTCAAGGACAACGAGTCGAAGAGAACCATGCATCAAACCGCATCCATAAATTCTTCTTTGAAAAAGAAAATTTAAAACATTTTTTTAACCGCCATTGTGTCGCACAAATGAATTTGATTAAAAGAAAAAGAGAGAAAGAGCAAGAGGCTTAGGAGAACTCCTGAAACGTTATCGAACTATCGAATCAGAGGATTGTTCGAAAAGAGATCGTTTTGCAAGTTCACTGTCGAGCTGCCACGAATTATGTTCGAAGCGAATGCTGGCAGCGAGATACGAAACTCTAAACGAAGAACACCAATCAGGGGCGTGAGCGTCGTTGCGTGCCAACACGTTTTGCTTCACGGAGTGGAGTAAAAGGGAGATAAAAAATGGTAAAATAACGAAGCTTCAAGTACCTACGTTCTATATTTTCGTTCGAAAGGATCAGAATATTTCTGTCGAAATTTCAACGAAAATTCATTTTCACCCGATTAATTTCTATTAAAATTAAGTCTCCTACAAATTGCAATTAGTGGTGTGTAGTGCAACTATTGAATGTCTATAAAATTTCACACGAAGAAAGTTTTCGATGCACAATATTTGATCTGCATAAGGATTAAAACAATTATGCAAATATTCGCGAAGATCGATCGTTAATGTGATATATCATCAGTTGAGTGTCACTGGCCTGATACACGTGTTGGAGGTAGTAGTAGTAGTAGTAGCTTGATTGCCGGACAATGGAATCTAACGAGACGAGGTTGAAGACTGTCTTATTGATCTCGTGAAAGTGGAAAGCATAATAATGGTACCGTCTATCAAAAACATTCGCACATTCGATGCTGAATTTTGTCTACAATTTTCGTTGGCTACCACTGCAAACCAGCGAATTAATCAGCCATTAGAAATGAAAACGTAGATCAATTTTTGTTAGTTTCATGGTTGCATTCTGTTACTTTCTTCGGCAGGAAGCAGTGATTTCTCAATAATGACGCTTGGTTGCGCGACTTTCTTTCGGCGATTTAAATTTAGCTCGTGAATCGCGAATACGGTCTAAAGTGCGAATTCGTCGCATAACACTGCGTTCAATTAAAACCATTCGCAGTTTTCTACCGTACGCGATAAAAGACAAGAAATTTAGAACGAAAAAAAAAAAAAAATATTTCAAAAGACAATATTTGAATTAGAAAACGTAAGGCGGTAAAAAGTCAAATGCGGGAACTTGTGCCGCCATCTGGACGGTCACCGGAACCATCGTTACCGACTACAGATCCGGTTCAACGAAACGCGAAAAAACGGAAGAGAAACCCGATCGGTAAATTAGAAATCCGCGTAGCAAAGTCTCGTTTCGCTGGAACATGGAAGCAGGGAACGGGTTAACTTCCGCTGGATAGGTGATTCGTTTCCGCTGTCGGTAAAAACGCGAACGCGAAATAGCGAAAGGGGAAAGGAGAAAGTACGAAACGTCGGACCATCCCCGTCGAGTACGACAGGAAAATTGTTCCTATTGTTGCTTCTAATAAAAATCCTAAATTCTACAATCCTAAAAAGAAACAGAGCCTAGACTCTGGAGATATCTTTCCTACCTGAAGTTCCGCCTGTGACACGTCGATTTCGCCCCTGTAGACAAACTCAATGATGAACTTGAGATCATTGAAACAAACGTCCTGTGGCATGATGATTGTCGGATGCTTGCACGGGTTCGAGAGCAGAAGCTTTTGAAAGTAGGAACTGCAGGCTGACAATACCACCTGTGCAAACAGAAGGAGACGTATCGAACGATCAATAATACAGGTGCAGATCGGTAGGGTGCATCGGCAAATGTATACTCGACGAGAAGCAAGTTTCATTGGTATAGGTGAAAACCGATGTGATTATAGAAATCTCGTGATTGCTCGCGTTATCTGTCGATTCGCTTACCTTGTGCGCCTTCAAGGAAGCCTCGTTACACGCTAGCGTGACGTCCACGAAGGCTTCCGTTTGAAGGAGTTGGTGGAAAACGGACGTCATGTTTGATTGGTAATTGTTCCAGCGCAGGCAGTAGTGCTGCCCGGCCATACCGCCGCTGCAACAGAAACACCAGAGGAAAACGATCATTCTCGCTGTTCTCCTTAATCGTTTTCGCAACGGCTACGTCGGGAAAGCTCGTCGACGATGCGGACATCGTTTCGATAGCTCGTGGAACGCGTACGAACGTAAGATAAGGAGGAAGTAAAAGGTAGGTGAACGTGTAAGGAACGATTGCAGGGACGCACAACAAACACATAGTTTCTCGCTAAACGCGGTGTTCTTCCTTCTTTGAGATCGATCCGTAAAGCGGGACAGTACCTGTAGTGCACGCCCCAATAACGATCCGTCTCCATGAAATATTCGTTTTCTATTCTGGCGCAGCTAGAGAAAAGGTGTATCGGCGGGTTTCTTATGTTGTACTTACGCGTGCGACCTGCGACGAACGATCTCACGCCGGCCGGGAGGGAAGGAAGGGTGGATAGATCGTTTGGTAGATGGAAATCGGTAAGGAGATCGGTCGTAGGTCGAGGCGAGGGAAGAAAAATGAAAGAAGACGCGTAAAGGAAGAAAGAAAGGAAGGAAGGAGTGGTTCGACGAGGAACGAGTAACGCGTTGTTCGCGGTAGCGAACGATGCACAACCGGTCTTTCCTTCGGCGTATCGAAATCGAGAAACACTTTCACGGCGGGTTTAGTCAACGTCGACGATCGTAATGATAATCGTGGAACGGCACAAAAATCCCTTTCCCCACCGGTTCCGTTTTCCGAGTTGACGATAATAACGTAACGGAAAGGAAAAAGTGCGAAGGAGAGAAGAAAGAAAGAGAAAATACGTTCACCGAACGACGTTGATGAATCGTCGATGATTAGCAGGTGGAAACGAGCGCGGCGCGATACGGATTGCGGATACGCGCGAATCAACAGCACAAAAGTAACGAATAAGTTCGGGCGTTGGTCTGTCTCGTAACATTCACCTGTTCCGTGGACCGTGCTTTATCTGTCTCTATCTATGTGACTCTTTATACGGCCCATTCCGCCTTATCTATCCGTAGGAACACGGAGTTTTATCAGTTGCTTAGACGTGCGCCGATAACGCGAAAACTCGACCTCTTCTTTCGTTTCGCTACTCTTCCCGTCCTTTACCGGTTCGCATCGTTCCTTCGATCGCAATTATCTCTGTCCGTCGTTAATTTCTCTCTCTTGTTCGAAGCGATTCGTTGTACATTACGTCAAAATCGTGAAATTGTTCGATCGTCGAATCGTCAATTCCGGATAAAAGTTCCATATAGAATAGTGAAAAGCGTTTACCTGTCCGTTCTCACCTGTTATTCGTTAATTGCGCGTTAGACGCGCACGCGCTGCGTGTCGCGTTTTCAAAGTATCGCGAGTTACATGTCGCGCAGTACAGGTAGTATTGCGAACGAGCGTGTTGATATCTAGAAATTGGGTTAACCGGCACGTAACGCTCGAAGACAAGCTGATAATGAGCGATAACGTGCGAGGAATGGCGACAAATCGATAGCGGATCGATCAATTTTCTCGCGCACTTTCCTTCCGCGCGAAACGACACGTGCTACGTATAGCAAACAGACGATTAACGCGAAAGAGGATAATTAAGCGGAAGGAGCGCGAGTGGAACATTGGCAAGAATGAAGAGAAACCAGGATGTAACGCGACTCGAAGAAACGGAGTGAGACCAGCTCTCTGGTTCGGTTGGGTGGGACGAGTTTGCGAAAAGCGCACACCGTCGATCCATTGAAACGGATTGCTCACCGGCAATCTCGCGTCTGCCGAACGAAACACAACGAAACACTTCGATCGATACACCGCCGATCGTTCGCGCCCGATCGAATCGATCGATACGCTTTCTCGACGGTCGATCTTTCGCGCGCGCGCACACCGGGCATACACATCTCGACGGATTTTATATTCGACTTCCCTCCATTTATATTGTACAAACATCTTTCCACGATATATTCCCGTTACTTTCACTGATATCGAGCGTCGAGTACCAGGATCCGCGGAACGTTCACGTACGAAGGCCAATCGATTGATTTTCTCGAGAAATCGTCCTCGCGTGATTTGTTACAGATTTTTCCCGACAATGAAAATGGAACGGAGCGAATGAAGAACGGTGAAAACGGGCCGTGGTATCGTCGCGGTATAGAAACGTGTGAAAAATTAACCGCGAAAGAAGCGACGATGACGAACGGAAACTAAACTACTCGATATCGAGCGATATCGGCCTCGAACGTAGCGTACGGAGTACGGAGTGTTGGGTGTAACAGAAACGACGGACAAATACGATTTCGCGAACGCACGGATATTCGTTTAAATTGGAAACAGGATATACGTACGTATGTACAGCAGTGCGTAACAAGGTTCACACTCGCAACACGCTTGACGTTTCCAACGATCGGCAGCAGCGGGAATGTTAGCGCGCGAAATGGAAAGCACAGTGAAGAAGAGAAGGAGGATGAGGAGAAGGAGATGGTTTAGGAGAAGGAGGAGAAGGAAGAAGAGGTGGAGAGTTTCGAAAGGATGAAATCCCGGGTTTCACTTGACGAAAATCGGCGAGAAATATATCGTGTCGTATCGGTGGATGATGCTGATCCCTTCGCGTGTTCGCGCTTTCTTTCGCGGACCTCGAAGAAGGACACTGCGTTGGTCTCTCCCTTTCAGAGAATCCTCCCTTCCATTTTTCCCTTCCACGATTCATCTCAATTTTTCTTCGAGCTTTTTGTGTCCAATTTCACCTCGCCTCCCTCGGATCCCATCCTCTTTCTTTTTCCCCGTCTGTCTCTCTGCCGTTCGTGGAGTAGACGAGCATGCTCCCCTCCCTCTACTTCTACCCCCGTAACCGTTCTCGTTCCGTCTCCTTCTTTTCTTTTCTCCCGCCCTCCTGCTCCCTCGCTCGTTTCATCGTTTCTTTCTCGACCCTCCTCTCCTCCTATACTCTTCTCAGCTCCTCTCCTCTCATCTCTCTCTCATTCCCTCTTTCTCCGCACGTTGGCTCCATTTACTCGTCCCCCCCCCCCGTTCCCTCCCTACGACGCGAAGACGCTATTTTCTCGTGGCCCCTTTTCTTCCACGGTCTCCGCCACCCTTCTCTCTTTTTCTCCTCTCCGCTCGCTCTCCTCATCGCGACTCTTCTTTCCTCTCATCTCTTTTCCTCTCCTCCGCGTCTCGCCGCGGTACCATGCTGTTCTCTCGCTCGATGCGAAGCTGTTACCCTCTCTCTTTCTCCTCTCTTCCTCTCCTTATACCTTGCTATACGCGCTGTTTCCTTCTCCTCCACGTCGCTGCGGGTTTTTACGTTTTTCCAACGTTATCGACGTTCTTCCTCGACTCTTCTCTCCGACTTTTTCCTTTCGTCGTACCATCCTCGAGACGACCAACCAGCTCTTTCTCCGGGAAAACGTAAGCGGAAACGACTACCCCCCTCCTGCCGGCTCTTTCCAACCAGGCACCGTGTTTCCAAGGAACGCTCTGAAATCTTCCAGAATAGTTTCCTCCGCTTCCTTCGCTTTCGCCTACCTTCTTCCCCCCCCCCCCCCCCCCCCCCCCGTTTTTTTCCCTTTTACGAGGGAACGCGCGGGCGCGCCAACTACCGCCCCCGACTCTGACAATAAAATTTGCATCGCTATTGGCGAACTAGCACCGATCCCGTGACCTCTGATTTCGATACGCGTCTGACGATAAGTAGCTAAACATCGTTGTCTAGAAAATCTTTGAAATGGAAAATGCGACGAACAGATTCCTTTCGAAGCGATCTACAAATTTGCTCCCAATTTTATCGCTTTTCTATCCCGACCTCGACGCGACTGCAATTCGGAAACCGCGCGTAATTTCGCTTAGAGAAGGGAGACGTAGGATTTGCGCACGCCTCGCGTTTCTCCATTGAATCTGTTACCAACGTTCCGTTCTCCGTCAAACGAATCTCTACGGACTTTGCGATCGCAATTATCACCGCTACTATTCCTATTCCGATCGATTACTCCGCGATGCCTGAGAACGAACGATATGCCGTCTATTTTTATCGGGAACGGGAGCGAGTTGCGTGAAACAAAGCGCAGGTACGACGAACGGAACGGAGGACAGGGAAAAGAAAATAATACGTGCCGGGGTACAATTCCTATCCGTGGAAGAAGCAGCATGTCTTTCAGATATTTCAACGACGATTCGATGTCGCGACGTCGAGATATGTAATTATCGTCGTTGTAATCATCGGTTGATCGGGAGTAATCGATCGATGCGGCGATCAAGGAACACGATCTCACCCCGATGCGGCGCGAGGCGAGGCGAGGCGGCGCGACGTCTACGTAAACGCGGTGTACCATCACTAGTCGGCTGCAAGATACGCCATTTCCACGTGGTTGCGGGAACCGAGGGAACGACGGAGAAAGGAAAAATAAATGAAAAGGAAGGAAAGAATCAAAGTACGGACGAAAAGAGAATAACGAGTAGTGGTCAACGAGTTGGAGCAGTCCTAATTTCCGTCCTGTCTGTACCGTAAGGCATAACAGTACCGCATTCCAAATGCCCTTCGTTTCTTCGTTTCTCTCCGTTCACCTTTCCGAGAGAACCGGGCTCTCTCGCGGGCTCTCTCGGCCTCTCACCTGTTCCCCTTCGCCCTACCACTTGGAAGAGCCAGTCGTATATACTGGCTAGTCTGGCCTCCGTTCTTCCTACCACCTTTACCTCCCGCCATTACACACTCTGACGGTGGCGGCGGTGTTTTCGAAGGGAAGGACAAGCAGAGGAGGAAGGACGAGTCCGCGATATGGGAGGGAGCAGACGGACCCGGAAACGGCAATTTCACTGGAACCGAAGGAGAGCGGAGGAATCGACACGTGGAAACGCAAGAAAGGAGAAAGGAAAGATACACGCTCTATATCGACGTAGACGCTGCTTTCGATATCCTTCTTGTCGTACCTGTTTTCTTCTACACGTAGAGAACTACGCTTGCTACTTGCCGACCAGAACAGGCGTTACGTACACAGTTGAAAAACTAGAGATATCCAAATTGTTTAATAAAAAAAAAAAAAAATAAAAAAACAGTCTGAAAGATTGTTCGTGCGCAACCTGTCTTACGTTTAACCCAGACGCGTACACGCTTACGCTTCTTTTTTGCTCTATTCTTCTGAAGTAAAGATAAACGAGGGTTGAAAGCCACCCCCGAGATCCACGTGATCAGGGTTGCGTCCCTTCGAAGGGTGCAACGTAAGAGGGTGACGTGGACTTGCCCAAGGTCGCACGTGGCCTGCCCAGAGGGATCTTTTCTCCCTAGCTTCGAGGGTGCGTAATTTTTTTTGCTGTTCATTCGGATATACGAGTTTCGAAGAAGCGTCGATGTACGAGTACACGCCTACAACCGCGCGCAACTATAATACTATGGTGGTGAGAAAAAAAAAAAAAGATACCTTTGCCACGCGATTCTCTGCTCCTTTCACAAATTCTTTCGAATTTTCCAAACGAATTTCCTCCACCGATTTAACCGTTCGGGAGATGCCTCGCGAAAGTTTCGCGATGAACGATAGAAGAGAAAGGAGCAACTAGAAGATGCGCGGGTGTACTCGAGCGAACGGAAGCAACGAAAAAGAAGGGAGCCGGAGAAAGGGTGAAGAGAGAGGGTGGCGAACAGCGGATAAGAGAGTTTCTTTGTGTGCCCGTGTACAGCGGAGGGATGAAAGCGGAGGATGAAAAAGCCGGGGGACAGATGGCCCTTTCAGACAATGAGAAACTCCGGAGATAAGGGGAACGCGAGCGAGAATCTGAGGGCGGAGGGGGGGAAAAGAGAAAGAGCAGCAGGGAAAAGGTTGGCAGGAGAAAGAAGGAGAGGAGGCAAAACTGCTTTTTTGAGACAGCTATGGAGAGGGATGTAATGAACGATGGGGAAGAGGAGCAAGAAAAGAGACCGGTAGAACGACGGATGGAAAAGGAAGGCGAAAGAGAAACAGAAAAGACGGAAACGAGCGAGTAGAAGCAGAATGGACTCTGCGAACAATCTTTGAACGTGATTAATGATCGAGCGACACGGTATCGTACGAGAATAATCGTACATCGTATGTTTCAATCGTTTTCAACCGGCATCAAAGGTTTATAGCGCTTCTTACGCTGGTCGTGCGTGAACATTTCATTTCAACAAGTTTCTTTAATCTCATTTGAATCGATATCCCCTTTAATTTCGCTATTTATACCTTCTTGTTGTATCAAGGATAAAAGTGTAAGCCTTTTCGGATCATTTCATTAACGTTCTCGTTTAGAAACGATTATTTCAACGCTGCTTCGCTATCATCGAGATAAATCGGAAAAACTGCAACTGCAAGGTTTCGTGTAACCAAGCTAAAAGCAAGAACACGAAAGAATCGACCTATAAAGTTCCCTTTCTCTCTCTCTCTCTTTTCCCCTCCTCTTGCAGGTCTATCTTTCTTTTTCCCTCTTCTTCCCCTTTCTTCTTGGTTGCTTTTAAAGAAACAGGATATACACCGCGGGACGAGGAACGAGGAAGAGCGTAAGAAGTGAAAGGCAAGAGGGTTGCCAGTGGTAAGAAAGGCTCAAGGGAGTAGGGTAAGCTGGGACGAAGGTAAAGACGACGACAACGGCGACGGCGACGACGAACGAGCAAACGGAGGAGGTTGTGGTGGAGAGGTAAGACGCGATGGAGATGGTGGTGAAGGTAGTAGCGATACTAGTAGTAGTAGTGATGGTAAAGGTGGGGTGGCGATACTGACGGAGAGGAAGGTAGAGGTAGAGGTGACGAAGGAAGTTAGCGAGGAAGGGGAGTAAGGCAAGGAGCTGAGAGGAGAAGGAAAAAGATCGAAATGCAAGAAAGAAAGAAAGAAAGAAAGAAAGAAAGAAAGAAAGCAAGAGAGAACGGCTAGGGTGGTCGACAGGATGCTAAGGGGAGAGTCAGAGGGGTGAAAAGAGGAATCGAACAAAGTCGAGCGAGGCAAGAAAAGTTTCTCTTACTTTGTCTTGTTCCCACCGTCATCCTTCGTCTCCTTCTTCCTCTGCTTTTCTCTTTTCCAGTGAAAACAGAGGAGAAGGGGAAGGAGAAGAAAGAGCGTGGCGAGGAGGGTAAGAAGGAGGAACGGAAAGAGGGAGAAAGAATCGGAAGGGGAAGTAAGAGGTAAAAGGAGAAGATGAAAGAAGAGGGGAGAAGGTGAAGGGGAAGGCGAAGAGGAAGGAAAAGGAGACACGGTACGAAGAGAAGGGAATGACCAAAATGTTTGCTTGTTCCTCGTGAGTCAGAGTACAGGAGCTGCTGAAGGAAAAAGAAAAACTGGGCAAAAAAGGAAAGGATGACGGGTAGGAAGGAGATAAAGAAAAAGGGAAAGAGCGAGAAAGAAGAGCTCCGGAGAACGACAAGCCCAAAACGAGGACAAAGAGAAAATGACAAAGGCGAGAGGCGCGTTCGATTCGATTGGAAAGGCAGGCAGAGGGGCCTCTTTCCTTTTACCAACGTTTTCTCCGTATTATACTCTGTACTTTCCGTTGTTCCTATGCGCGCGCGTTTCTGAGATGCACACTACGCGAGTAAGCAACACGTTCAGGCTCATGCGCTCGCGCGAACCAGCCGTATATCTACGGCGATATAGCCTATCTGGAAAAATATACATTCACCCGTGTTCCCTTTCTTTTATGTGTTCCTTTGCATCCATTACCTTTCATTCCCCGTCTCTCTTCTTCACGCTTGTACACAACTTTTTCCATTTCTCTCCCGTCTTCCTCCCTCTTCTCTCGCGTCTCGATAACTATACGAGGTTTCGCGCTATGTGGCTCTATGCTTTTGCGGCGAGAGGACAGCTTTATACGTGGGTGAACGGGAAAATGTCTTTTGAAACCTTTCTAGGTCGCTCTCGATCGCCCCACTGTCAGTCATCTACACGCGATTCCGCTTGCGGCTCCATGAAAACAGTCGATCTCGTCTCTCGGTTTTTCTTTTAATCATACACTAACATATACAATTATGTCTACAATTCCCTTTTATTCCTATCTATTTAAACGAACATCTAAGAATTATTATAATAATGAGAATAATTAATAATAACTGTTTCGACGCGATTAGAAGAGTCGGAAGATTTCGCCGACCGACTCTGCTTTTCTGTTCGTATACTTTCGCCGAAGCGTACATATATCGAGAAAATGAGAGCGGTCCCCGGCGATGAGGTCCCTTTTATTGTTTTGCGCGAGGGTGTCGATTGACGCAGGGCCTCGTCGTAACGAGCCGATTTTAACTAGGCCCTTTTCGATTGATTAGGTTTGCTTTATCCTCCCGAGGAGACGGTGCGAGCACTACAACTCTTTCGGCAAAAAATGCTCGTTACTGGCAGAGGCCTGCTTTATCTGAATTTCTGAACAATAACGACTACATACACGGTTATCAGCATGATTCTCAACACGATACGTTCCCTTCTCGCGTCTAACCCTGCTGTTCGTAATTTCAAGGTCCCTCTGGTTAAACCTAATCAATCTTGTCAACGATAAATCGTCACTGTTAACAGCCTCGAATTTGTTAACGTTAAATTGATTTTTACGTTTGTTATCCCCCTCGCAGCCGGTCGTCCTCCAGAACCCGATCCTTGAATCGTTCTAAGAAAAAAATAGGAGAAAAGGAGAAAAAGGGAGAGGTTACGGATGGTAGGGATAGAGGGACGAGACGGTAAAGATGGAAGAGAAAAAGGTGCAGCTCTCTCGATGGGTGCGAACACGGCAAGGCCGAGAGAAGGAACAGTAAAATTGTGGAGAATGTGTACGCGCCATCAGGGTGGCCTAGATTCACTCAAGACCTGCTTTCTAGGCAACATTTCTCTTTATCATCGGCACCGCGAGCACAATGTATAGGTAAACTGTTGGTTGCCATACGATCGCGGAGAAAACTTCAGGTATACTTAGCCTGTGCATCCTACTCCTCTCTATACATATGTACTTTAATCCTTTTACTCGACATTTCAATAAATACATAAATATGTGTATTGACAATTTTAAATACATATGTAGCACCTTTGAATTTCTCTCGTTTCTTTTCATTTCATCTACGCAGCTTGTCGTTCCTTTACCCTACCCTCTGTTACGATCTCTTCCCCTTTAGCTTCGCTCCCACCCTCCATAGCTCTCCTTCCTTAGACACCTTACCACCTCCCTTATCTTTATATCCCTACCTTTATATCCACCAATAATGCTAAATACACAAAAAATGCCTCCAATTAATCGTTTATATGGAAATTTTCTTTGCCCCGGATAAATAACTAAAAAATTAATATTTGTCGGTTTTTAAAAAAAAAATATTCCATCGGGAACGGTGGAAGGAAATTTTTAAACGATTTCATGATGAATTTCGCCTTCTATACTTATATTGGGATAACGGAGTTAAGTAAAAGTTTGTGCAAATTTCTGTCTGTTATCGGTAGGTTATTTGTTATTCGAACAATTTTGTACGAAGAAAAGCGACCGTTTATGTTTTCCCTTGTGTTTTGCTGTGTGATGCGCGCAAACATTAAATAAGTGTTTCCTGCGCATACGTAATCGGTGATTATTGGGCAGTTATCGTGCACGTGACCTACCGTAATCGGTGACAGCGTTTCGAACGTGCACGCGGCAAGTGTTCCAAATCCTTGTGGAGGAGCCACGAGGCGCGCGTTGAGGGACGTTTAATTCGTCGCTTGGTACGACAGGTCGTTAAACGTTGTAGATCATTGTCACGCATACCGCTATAACTACACACACACACACGCGCGAACTGACCAGCTGTGCGAGATGCACGGAACCGTAGAAAGTCAAAATACGCGCAGGCACGCGCGAGCGAGATGCAATGCATCATTCGTGTATAAATATCGAAAAGATTTTGTCGGATCGACTATTGCTAATCGCGTACGCAAAATAATAAGTAAACTGGTATAAGACGCAGCGAGAATTCGTGGTAAGACAACAAGTAGCGAGTATAGAACAAACGTGTGTCTGCCATCGCGATGTCAACGCATCAAAATGAATCATGTAAAAATTATGAGTGGACTTACCTCACCATGACCTGACCTACGAACAAAACCACAGCCGGAACAAAAGTTTAGCCGATGTTTGGCAACTCCGTGCCGAGGTCCACAGGAGAGACACTCACTTTTGTCGTGGTTATAGCACTCGTAACACACGGCTACGCACGGAATGACCGAACTTACGAAGAATTTTCACAAAAGTTTACGTATACGCGAAATGACACACGAACAATTGTTAGTCGTCGCGTAAAACACGTACCGCGTTGACGATTGGCAGCTGTCACTCTTGGTTTGTCCGTGAAAACGTCGCGGCACGAAGTGGTGTAGCAAATCACGGACAGAGACGGAGAAAGAGAAAGACATAAATGCACACTAGGGGGCACCGTGATGGCGGCGGACGACCCGTGTTCCGTTGCGGACGGTGGCGCAAAGCGATTAAGCGATTTTGTTGTGGACCCCGATTCTTCCCTTCGTCGGCTCTCTCTTCCCGGCTTTCCACTTCTCCCGCGCCGCCTTTCGCCTCTCCCGCCGGCTGCGCTACGCCATAAACGCGCCCCTGAACGGAAATCAGCCTTACTCCCCACTACATCCACGCGAATCCCTACCACCAGGACGAATTGCCATAACGTAAAGACTGGCAAAAATCAGGATTGTATCTATTTTATTGTTTATAACTCGATCTTTTCTTGAGGAAACTTCGTAGAAATGTTTAAATATATGTAGGTAATAGCACAACGAATATCGATTCTTATATCATTCCAAACGATCGTGTAGAGAAATATAAATTTGAATTATCCGCGGTATGTAATGGAGAACAGTAGACGTACTATCTTCCGCCAGTTCATATGTAATGCACTAATGTAATTTCCTTGTAAAGCGTTTCTATTTTCATTGTTTATGTATCACATAACAATTATCTAATGTTTTTATTAATAAGTTTTTAAAAATTTTCCGTATAACGTTGCACTGTGCACAAAAAGTCCCTAGGCCCTGAGAGTCTTCCGACGTTCCTGTGTTAACCGACCGTTCTTTTTATCCCACTATTCGTAGCTTGTTGCGCAGAAGACCAAATTTCATCTTCTGCGCCGCGTCTCCCCACAATCGAGCACACTGTTTCCGTATATCCCGGTTATCCCCTCGCAGAACGGGTCGATCGTTAACGCGCAACGCTACGGCCATCGTGTAAAAAGTACCCACAACGCTTGGATAGTGCACGCCGAGGGCAGGACGTGTTTTCCACTTTCCTCTTGTGATATTTAAATTGTGCCAATAAAAGGTGAGTAACTTACGCGTATATTTATAACCTGTGTCTGTAATTGTGTGTCTTTTTGGGTTTGAGTAATTCATATACCGTCGAGAAAAGTTTGTAGGAAATCAGGTCGGTTGGCTTCGATAATGAACACGGATTTTACATTGTAGAAATATAATCTTGTAAGAAAGTAGGAGACAATGATGTGTAGAATTTTGCGAAAAGTTTATATCTTTCGAGATTTCGATCAATTATTTTGTGCTTTCCAATGAAATCCCCATTTTCGCCATTTTGCCTGTGCCAAGCCTGCAAAGTCGGCCATTATGTACGCGTGCCAGGTTGCGGTCCAGGGCCGGTTAATAACATACGAGACACTATATTTTTTGTGTATCATAAGTTAATTTATTTTTATTTTACGAGTTTGTATTCCGGTTGTTGTTCGATTCCAAGATAGTTTAATTGTTGCGACAGTGTACATTTAACCAGTTTTATAGTGTTTTTGATAAAATTAAATAGATTCGTGTTTTCTTTAGTATAGTGTCTCGTTTTTCCTCTTTGTATTTTGGAAAGTCGTATCTTCATTATTTCGTCAAAAATGAAACGAATGTTACTTAATGTCCTCGTTACACATTGTTATAAATGCATTTTATGTCGGTTTACATTAGAATTTAAAATTTTATCATTACCGATAAATTATCGACAGGCGTATATATTATCGAATTGCTTTATGGTTTTTGTTGATACGTTTGTACAGAAATAGTGTTATAAGAACTGTGCGATCGTTTTTTCATGTATCCTTCATTTGTGTCACATAAAAAGTGCGCGTAGCTTGTGTACAAAACCGACCTGGAATACAAAAATGTGTTTTGTCAGTTAGCGTCCTCTAGCCGCGATTTCCAATCACGACAAGAGATCGTAGCTTTTGAGAGTAGAGCGCATGCTCGTTAGTTTCCTTCGTTTTTTCTTCTCTCGTACCCTCTTCCGGGGAAGCCTGCGCTCTCTGACGGTCGATGTACAGGCAAGCTAGCAGCCGTTACGTTACGCCATTGTTGAAAAGGGCAGCGCTCGAGGCGCACGCCGAGCTTGGACGCTTACGCAGTTTTTCACTATTTACCCATCCCGTGCTGTGATATTAGATTGTTTTATATCCTTTATTAGGTGAGTGTAATAACGTGTAGACGATTATTTGAAAAGTTTCGAATTTTGTCGAAGCTCGCAAGAAAATTCCGGAAAATCTTAAGATGGGGTGACATGGCGCGGGCGGATCCTCTATGTATTTTTACGAGTACATCATCTTTACTGTATCCACGTCAGAGAGAAATTTCCCGGTGAAGTAAGTGTTTGCGATTTTCGTGTTCTTGTCCAGACGACGCTTTAGCGGGAAATTTCAGTGTTAACGATTCAAATTTCGACTCATACTTTTGCTTGCGAGCTTTTCTTACATCGCCATTTTGTTCGGGCGCGACCTCGCGGACGGCCATATTGCGATCCACGTCTCCTCTCCTCTCGTAGTTTCTGGGGGCGGTGCGAGGAAAGTGCATCGTTCTTTTTCGCCGGTCGATAGATGCGATTGGAAAAATTATCTGTCTCCAACTTGTTTTTATTTCGCACACGTTGCTCGGCGCCATCTGACGTAACATTCAATACGAGATAACAATATAAATAGATTACGCAATCGCGCGTAAGCAGTGGTGAATGCTCTTCGCTTTATTTCGCAGTAATCTTTACGCGTGCATACTTACATTGTCGTTATTCCCCCACTCGCGGTAGACGTGTACGCGTTGCGCATGTGAAGCGAGTAATCGATTTTTCGTTTTATATTGCGCGTCTATGATGTAAACTTTGCTGTATATTGTGTGTTACCCTTCTCTTTGCACCACGAGTCTCATTAACTTCTAACTTTTAAAAAGCAGTATTAACTTTCATGTCTGGTTCGTAATCTTTTTTCTTTAATATGTTAATTACAAACCGGTACAATTTTCCGATATTCATAGTCAAATGACTACTAGAAATATCGTAAACGGGAATCTATTGACACATTTTGAAACGGCCAGTTGAACCGGTTTATGTTGAAAATGTAGAGAAGAAATCGCTACATTCTCTATAATTCAAATTATATCGATTCTCTTGTTGATGTATTTTCTTTTATCGACTAGTTTATTGAATCGGGATCCGTTATTGGTTCGCGCGACCGCTTCGGTGGCTATAGTTTTCTCGCTCAATTTCCCCATTTGCCACGGGTACTGGAATATCCAGCAGACGCCCCTGAATTCCAGGGGCCTCAAAGCTAGTGCGCAAGCTGGTGCGCAGCTCGGGCGCAGTTGCGCATGCGTGATGCTTGCGCGTCCTCCTGCATCATCCCCACCAAATCCATCCATTACCGTTATGAGGACACGCACAAAGGAAAAGGCCAGAAGACTAATTCAACCGACGCGCTTGCATCGTACGGCCATTTTGGAAGCTTCGGTGCTTCCTGGCAAAGCTTTAACCCGCGTTACAGTATCGATCCGGAAACTACAGATAAATCTGTATAAATCGTTATTCGTCCGTTCCTCAAATCCCGCGGCTCGATGTTTGCGTTAATTGGACATAGGACATTTAGATAGCATTAGACACGATATCGAACGACGGATATCTGTCTAGTTCGCTGACTACCATTAGTTTTTCTTACTTCTCCAGAAACGAGGAAATCGACAGAAAATGGAAGATGACCAGCAGTTTTGTTTAAGGTGGAATAACCACCAGAGTACATTGATCCAAAACTTCGATACACTTCTAGAAAGCGGCACTCTGGTTGATTGCACGTTAGCTGCCGAAGGAAAATATTTAAAAGCGCATAAAGTGGTACTTTCGGCGTGCAGTCCCTATTTTGAGGTAAGTTGTTTCTTGACTTTTAAATAATGTTTTAATTGTATTTGTATTCATTATTATGCGAAATATATCATTTTTCTGTCAATATCTGTCATAAGTTCGGTTTGGATAAAAAATTATTCAAAGGGTAATCGAGTATATGTTAAGAGAAGCAAAAGAAAAGACGCGGTTAACGAGATCTTGATGTACAAAATTTATCCATTTCCATTTGCATTCGATACGTACGATTAGAATTATTGTAAATTCCTGAAAAGTTTAAACGGCGATAAAAACGGAACCTGAAATTGAAACAAGATGGCTGCTCTTGCTGAATGTTGCTTGGACAGATGTCCAAGAGGCAGGGGGGACTGAAAGCCCAAACCCCCTCCTGGTTCCTCTTGGTAATCAATACAGAGAAAGCAAGATGGCTGATATCCAGGGCATTTGCCCTGGGATTTTATCCTGATATGGGTGGGGATGCACCAAGGGATAGCATCTTGTCAAATTGAATTTGAATCATGAAATTACATTTTATGCATTAATAATTATTCGTTTTAATTGAAACTTGGATCGACTGATGATAGTAAACCGAGTTAGTGTTGATGTAATATTTATTTTTTCGCCATTGATCCTTTTTGAGTTTTACAATTTTATTTGTAATAACACAGTTCTGATTGAAATATTCGAAAGTTGACTACATATTAGATGCACATCGATCACCGAAGAAACTCCTCGATGTTGAATGTTTTAATTTTTATTATAGGGACTTCTGAGCGAACACTATGATAAGCATCCGGTGTTTATCCTTAAAGACGTTAAGTTTAAAGAATTGAAAGCAATGATGGACTATATGTACAGGGGAGAAGTGAATATCTCCCAAGACCAGCTCGCAGCGTTACTCAAAGCTGCTGAATCACTGCAAATCAAGGGGTTATCCGAAAGTAAAACGAGTGGCAGTAACAAAATGGATACGAGGCAACAGAAAGTCGTGCCACAAGTTACGGCGGCCCCGTGTGACATTCCACAGGGGGCTCCTGGTCTAACCATAGAAAAAAACAAAGTTCCTACTAGACAAAATTTGCCGCAGGGATCTGTTGGGGACCTACCGGAAGACTCTGCTAGTCCCCAAATACCACCCAAAGGTCTTTCTTCGAGGTAAGATGATTCGAAAAAAAAAATATATACGCGAAAGACAGGTATATGTTATATACCCTTCTAAGTCCACGTTTACCATGATTTTCTGGTTTACAGGGAAGGTTCGCAAAGTCCAACTTCGAGAAAAAGAAAAAGGTTTCGAAGAAGAAGCATCGGTGAAGATAATAATTCGATGGAAAACCACGAGGCCTCAAACTCGAACGATATGTCTCAACAAGTGGCTGTTCCAGCACTTGGTATCGCGCCTGTCGCGGAAGAAACGTCACACGTAGATCCTGCAGACTCGATTGGCAGGTCAGCCTTAATGACGCAGCTGACGAGACCTGCGGATGAAATGCTGCAAGTAAGGCTCAAGAGAAAATCGATATCGAATTTGTTGCGTTTAATTTATCCAGCAACAACCGTTTCCCCCCTTGCCAACGTTAATAATGGAAGCTGTTTGCCTACGATGCTCTGTTTCTTTCGCTCGTTGGTAGAGTAAATACACACCGTACTTTATCCTGCTGTTTGATTTCATTTCAATTTAATCTTGTAGCGTGGAAACAGTGCGGCACACGATTGTTCATGTTTATCTACCTTTATTATCCTTGCCCGAATTATCCAACGGAATATGTAACGCGTAATTATCTTCGCAGCTACCACTAGAAAAACCGGAGCCAAATGATAGTCTCATCGAGCCAAAGTCGGAATATATGGACGATCCGGAAGAAGGCGTCGAAGATCTGACGCTCGACGATGACATGAACGATCTAAACGAAATGGAACCGGATAACAATAGAGCTGGCCCGTCCCACGATCCCTCGCAACACCCAGGTAAGTTGAATAAATCGTACTCCTTCATATATATATTTTTTTTTATTTCTAGTATTTTTTGTAATGTAATGAAATACAGGGTATTTTAACGAATTTACGCGATGCGAGAGAAATTTTCAATTTGTACGCACATAATGAGAATTCAATTAAATTATTTACACGCGTTTAGACATTATACCCGTATATATATATATTTATAAACGGTGAATTCCCTCGAACCTAGATCACAAATCATATATACCGTAATTGTATAGACGACGGCAGTAGCAAAACTTCGATCCAAAAACGAAACTTTGAATCGAAGCACAGCTTTCTACCGTATAAAATGTAACCAGATAAGCCAGGTGAATACGATATATCGTACCTTAGGTTTCGAATTTGATATGTTCTCACTGATTAGAGGAAAAAGGGACTCGGGTTGTTGATTGACGATTAATTGTAAAAATCTCGCGAACGTTTCGTTTTTAGTTTGTTAAATGTTAAAACGGGTCGTCCAATGATCGGCCGACACTAGCTTGGGTTTCCTCGTTCCAGGTGGGGGGGCGGTAGCGCGGTCTCGGTCGAGAGGGAATTTGGGTGGTGGTGGCGGTGCCCTCTGGGCGTCCCATTTCCTCGAATGTAAAAAAGGGCCGAACATGAGACGGCCACGCCCGGACGTTGACGTAGGCGCGTTGCTTAAATCGCTGGCAAACAAACAGGGCAGAAAGTATAGTTTAGACTCGGTTAAAATGTCCCTGGAAGCAATATTACAGCAGGGGGTTAGCACCACTCAGGCATCAGAGATGTATGGGATTAATCGATCAACCCTGCAGTTCTATTTGAAAAAGTTGAACGTCGTCAGAAGGAGATGGAGACAGCAACCTAGTAACCTGATGCAGCCTAGACAGCCTTAAAAACATTACATGCTTTTCCAATTAATCGTTTGTGTAACAATGTTCTTGAATATCGAGATTCGAAAATAAGCGACGATGTATAATTCCATTTGATCGATATATCTGTATATACGATTTAAATCGGTTCCATTCTGTTCTGCTCTGTTCCGTTCCGTTTCGTTGTACACGTACCTAGAGCCATGCGGTTTTTGTACTTATTTCACGGGCATTTATATTTACTTTCGATGTAACTTGTGATAATTATTTTTCTGTTTTTCACGAATACATATTTGTGCGTGTTTTGTGTCAATTCTTGGAGAACTTACAAAGAGGTTGGCACGAAGCATTTTGTATACATATCATACTTAGGTTTCTTTCCTTTTTCTTTTTCTTTTGGAGGAATCGATGCTTGAATTCCACTTGAAAAAAGAAGCAAATGTATCGATACGTTACAGTTACCACTATCGCTACTGGGAAGAAAGTTAATCGGGGTCTTTTCGTAGGTTCATTTCTTTCTTGTAACGTCCGTCCGTCTAATTACGTATCTTGAATTTTTACCGCATTCCGAAGCTACGTTCGAACATATCTATCATCCTTAATGTGTACACTTTTTACGGGATGGAAATTTTCCTGATCGTTCTCTTTTTTTGCTGTATCATTCAAGAATCGAGCCTCATTGTGGACAAGGTACCGATAATGTCTAACCAGTGTATCGATTAATCGTTAATCGTTTAAACACAGTTCGTAGTTGTACTACTACTTCTGTTAAAAAATAAGTCGTTAAACGTTTTCCGTTGAACTCGCTGCGAGTTGTCTACCTACGATGAATGGGTGTACAAAATGTCAGACTTCGAATTAGCTTGGAAACTATCAGTATTAATTCTTCGTTCTAAGTGTTATCGTAGGTTTATAATTAGGCAAAGAACTCGAGATATATTAACGTGTTCGTATGTGTGTATGTATTAAAGGGCGACGAAGAAATAGCAAATAAGGGGGAGGGGGAATGATTAAAAGGATGCGTTTACTTTATTATAATACACGATACTGCCGGCTTATATTCGTTCTGTAAGAGAATGTGTACGATTTCGGATCATCCAGGATACCCTGTATTTCACCAGTTTTCGGACTGCTTCAGAATCCGATGACATTTTTGTTCGTATTTCAAACGAAGATACAAATTGCGAACAATAAAGTATATAATATATTACCCTTCGTTCCTAAAAAAAGAAAAATGATTAGTCGTGTTCACTAGATGCAAAAATGCGATCGTAATTCCAGCCACGTTTTCATTTTTATCTCTTTCTCCTTCGCTATTTATTTTTCATTTTACTTTCTTCTATATTTCAATACAGTAATTTAGCTTTCGTAGGGCAACGTGTTTTTATCAGTCTGGTTTTATTTGTCCCAATTTAGCAGGAATAGGCGCGTGGCACGTTACAGGAGATCGAAGTAACGCGGGGGGAGTTGTGGGCTCGGTGGCAGGAGCTCCTGGAACGACAGACGAAGTCTTTCTCGCAGCCCAAGAGGCCGCCCAGGCCCACCGCGACTCTCAAGGTAGGCTCATCCACATCATTTCTCATCAGCTCCTATCCGCCGTAACAATAGGCACCACTTGCAACTAGATGAACCTTGTTTCTTGCTTTTAAATCCAGTACAATTGCAAAATAATAGAAAGAAAACGATGGGTATGAGAACGAGAGCATATATATTTTAAGGATAATTATGAAAGTAAATGAGCAATTAACTCCAAGACAAATGATTCGAATTCGTTCAATTTAAATAAAAGAGAAAATAAATTACGATTATGTTTATTCTATAGATTTATAAATAAATAAATAAAATAAAAGGTGCCTATTGCGCAGGCGTGACAGGGCTTGTATTTTCATTTACTGCCGAATAACGTGGTTCAACCTAGACGCCGGTACGTTCAAGAGTAGCACGGTCTCTGAAAGAGCTTTTCACTTTTCTTAAACAGGGCATGTAATTTTTCGTTCATTTTCAATTTCCTAATATTTTTTTCTATCTTTTTATTTTTTCTCTTTTCTTTTTTCCTTTTTTTTTTTTTCTTCAATCACAGTATCGCGAGACGAGGTTGACGCGCCAAGACCTGCCACGCGGTTATTTCTTAGTTTACACTTGGTTCTCTATTCTTTGATGACTCGAGATAACGTGTATTGTGCGAACACGTTTTATACAATTATTTTTTCGTTTACTTTTGTTCTTTCTTTTCTGTGGCTTGTCTTTATCGTTGGCCTCGCAACGCGATATTACGACCTCTCTCTCCTTTCGCAAGGAAACAGGCTGTGCGGAGCACGGTAACTTCGCCGTGACCACCGACCAAAGGAAACACGACACTCTTTCGTATTTTATGGTTAACGAAAGAAAAGTAGAGCTTATTATGCATATATAATTATAATACACAGCAGTATAATATCTCCCCTTTTGATATCTCGCGGTTTTATTTCTCAGCTATAATCGTTTATTACGTGTGCTTTATTAGGAGAAACGTTTGATAATGAGCCAGATAGAGATAGGGCGTGAAAGAGAGGGAGAGAGAGAGAACGAGAGAGGGAGAGAGTGAAAGTTAGACCGTCACGATTAATAGATTTCGCGAGTTTTCGTGATTACAATCTACCGAGTAAACGAGAACCGAAGCTTCCAAGCATGATAATTAACGCTTTCGAGATTTCCCGTAGAGAATACCGCGGTGCTCGCTTTTAAATTGCTTCGACATCGATGAATCCTCTCGAGAAAATGAATTCGCGTAATTACGTTCCGGGCCGCGCGCAACAACGTGCAATTATCGACTAGCAGACGTTTTCATTTGCATATGTAGGTCTCTCCAAAGTATCTTCTTACCGAGCGCGAATATTAAAAGTAGCATATTTTATTGATACCGCGTATGTTCATATAATAAAATGAAATAGACGAAAACCAACGTTCAATATTAGGTACTAGGAGACGTGTCTCTTGTGCGGATCCACCACAAAGGCTTTCAATGAACATGAAGCAACATCGTCTTCAAAAAATTCAAAGTTCAGGGGCGAAAAGATTCCCTCAGAGATCGTGCCGAGTTTGTAGAGTACACGGAAGACGTAAGGATACGTGTTACATGTGTGAATTTTATAGAGTACCGCTTTGCAGAAGCAAATGTTTCGACCGATATCACACGGAAGAGTATTACTAATTATTTGAATAAATTCATAGCTACATTCGCGCGTATTATCTACGCGTATTCACAATATTGATCGACGCGAAGAAACTATTACAGATACGCGTAGACCATTAAAGTAGGTTACTTTCGTCGGTTATCAAAGGTCTACGCTCGCGATTAATTAGTTTCGATTCCAGTACGCGAATGATTCGAGATGCGTGTGTACGGTTCGTTCTCAAGAAGACTGGTCATCCTTGAGCTGGATACCGCGTGAAAATAAAACTTGTCGCAAGGATTCGCGCATCTACTATGATAAATTCCGTTGCCGCGCTCGAAGCTCGAGTGAATTGCATCTCGAAAGTCGTCGGGAAATATTGTAATGATTTCGTTAGCATATTCGGCAATAGGGTTCGAGGAAGGGGGAAAAAGCGGTGCCGTGCAGCTGCAGCTGTCGCGTTTCTCGAATCGATGCATCTGCCCGTAGAAATTGTGCAGCTGTCGTTGGCAGATGCGACGCGAAAAGAGGCTTGCTGAATTTTCCGCGAAATATTCACCTTCCAACAGAGAATAGAAGAGAAATTATTTCGGGTTTAAACGAAAAGATACTTTGGGAGAGACCTGAGACTAGGAGAGAGAATTTTCACGCGTTCGGAATAGATTTTCTTTTTTTTTTTTTATTTCAATCGAAGGACGACTAGTTAGGCTGTCACGATCGCTTAAAAAGGTGATCCAACGCGGGACCACAAGGTAATTTCGGAGAGAGAGGAGCGATCTCTCTGTCAATGCTGGTCCTTAAGAAATTGTTGGCATTCGTTCTTGTTGCAATTACGTAAAATTGTCGCGACATTAATTTAGGTAAAATACAGGAATGATTATCGAGCGATACCACAAAGACACACGAGCGGTGTTCGAATGAAATAGCACGATTAAACCAAAGAGAAAAATAAGATTTTTCTTGACGAGTGCTCGCATTGATGGGGAAGGTCGTTGTTTTCATCGTCAGAGACTTGTTACCTTGAATCGATTGTGTTCTCGCGCGGGCTGATTAGATTCTTAGCCGCACAAATACATAAATACACACACGAAGCCTTCGAATAAAACGTAAATCGTACACATTTGTCCACTTATCTACGACACGTTCCGTGCCGCGTGGGTTGTATCGTTTTTCTGTTCGCGCGTTCTCCGTGATTTCTATGCTGAAAAAACACACACAAAACGTTCACCTCGAGTTTCTGGGTCGCGGCTGACCCACGCGGCGTATCGAAGGATTACCTTTAAAAAACAGATGTTTCGTTCCTTCAAACGCACTCGATGCGTGTTACAACGCGACGTGCTGTATAGATGATCATCAGAATCGTAATTTATCTCTCGCAGATGCATTGAAGAGAAGTTTACTGCGACACGAAATCAAAAAGAAAGAGGGGAAAGTATCTAAAGTGAGACGTCGTTGCGAGAGATGTTACCAAGAGAATGTGAAAAAGTTTGGTAGTCAGGTCGCGAGAAACTGTACCGTCAAAGTAGCTACGTTTTGCGAGAATTGTTATGGCAAACCTCATCTCTGTTTGTCATGTTTCTATGCGGAACATTTTGATATGCCATGATATGTTTTCGATTAATAAAATCCATTCAATTCAATCGATTTGTCTCGTATTTCATGTGTGTCCGATCACAAATTTTTCATTTTTTCGGCCGATATATTAGACACTGTGTGTATGTGTGTATGAGTGGAAATGGATAAACATATCGTGTTAATTAACCGCGGCACGGAACGTGTTTTTTCGAAAAATTCGTTCGATTTAATTAATTCAGAACACCAGCCACCCTTTTAGCTTGATTTGATTTGATTGAAATTTTTTATTTGAACGCTCTCTTTTATAACGCGCACACTTTCTCTCGCTCGAACAATCGAATCGAGCCACGATTTAAAGTTTCGTCGTCAAGATTTTCGACGATTTTCAACGACGCGTGTATCAGGTAGAAAGGTAAAGAAACGAAAATTAGAGCCGGCGTTGCACCACGTTGTTTGCAGTACGTAGAGAATTTTTGTAAATGTCGTTGTGGAAACAAAGATGTTCCGGTGAAAAGGGTAAAGATGGGCTTTGCGTTCGAAGGACTCGATTCACCGTACATTTAAATATTTCTCTTGAAACATTTAACGTTGTTCGAATATAAATCAGGGTATCCTTAATCGGTGAATCGTGTTCATCTTTGCCATCAAACCGGAATGTGCAACCCTCGTATCCTAAAGGAAAAGAGAAAGAAAAACAAACCACCCATTCGTAGTTGTTTACGTGTTTTTTTTGTTGGTAGAAGATTTGAAAAACATACCATGCACATGGTAGTAATAAATAATAAGTAAAAGAGAGAAAAAAAAAGGAAGGTTAAGACAATTGGACGAAAGAAGGGACGTAGATGATTAGCGTGTAGTCGCGTGACCCTCGCGCCTGACAAAAATCTATACGAGCCAATATTAATTAATTTATTCAATTTCATGATGTCTTATTGCCTTCGCTTTCGCTTATCGTGTTATCTGAAAATGAACCAAAAAATAGAAAGAAAAAAAGGAAAGAGGAACATTTCTCTGTATTTGAAAAAAATTTCTAATCAAACGAGCAACGACGAGGGTCTCGCGTTTACAATAATTTCATTGAAATAAAATGTACACGCGCGGGTTGTGCCTTTCTCTCGTATACGCGTGTCAGCGCGTTGGGTTTTCGCAGCTTCCTGTCCATTTAACGAACAGAAAAGAAGCTGCAACTGATAACAAAAAAAGCACGTGGTCGTTTGGTAGACGTGACACGCGTGACACGCATCTGCACGCGCTCGCACGAAACTGACAATTTTTTTTCTTCTTCCTCTGATACGTGTTGTGTCATATACGCCGACGTGGCTTTCCTTTACATACCATATACTCGCTTTTCTCGTGTGCACGCGCGTCTCACGCGTGTCGAGGAGAACCTTTTCCACGCGTACCAACAGACAGTATATATATACATATACCTAATATAATAAGTATACGTATACATGTACGATGTGTGATATATTCAACTATATATATATATATATTTTTTTTTTTCTTTTTTTTTCTTTATCCATCCGTGTATGCGTACATACTCGATAGTTTTTCAATCCATTGCGTTGGGCCATTTTTTGCGTAATTCGTCTTGCATGCCACGCTTCCTTCGGTAGTTTAATTACGACTCTTTAACTTTGCGGAGGTGAGCGAGCGCGATGCGTTCTCGTTCCGCGTACAATCCTGCCTTCGTATATATATATATATTTTTTCAAATATGCCTTGCAGATCAGTCTCGTGTTTTTGACAGAGGGGGTTATTTTTGTTGATGTTACATTGGTGGTGGTGATCGATCTGCGAACACACACAGACGTATATATATATATA